AGGAGCTGAGGCGCCGCGGAGCAGAGCAGGGGAGGGAGTCTCCAAGGCAGGGAAACGCCAGCAGTCAGTAGGAATTGGGCCAACTACTGACGAGACTGCCTGCTCGCCCAACCCCACCGACCCTCACCAAGTCACAGTACCGATTCATGCTATCGATCGGACTCGGACGAATAAGGAGGGTACAGCGACGGATTGCCCAGTACTGATCCACGGGAAAATACAGGGAGCAGCAGTGAAGATTTTTATCGACGGAGGAGCAAGTCACAGTTTAGTTAATACCGCAACCGCACGAAAACCGCAACTGACACTTAGCCGTTGTTTACCTGAGATAGACGCACGCTTAGTCGACGACACGCCACTGGCCATACGGGAAAGGGTGGAGAGAGTCAAAGTCCGCTGCGGGGGAAATTTCGGATTTACATAGGAAATGCTCGCAACGACACTAGATGGGCACGACATTTTACTGGGACGTGATTGGCTGCGACGGTATAACCCGCGAATTGACTGGACGACGGGTAGCTGCACTGTGCGAAGTAGCGGTAACTGGGTTGAGCTACCTCGCTGGCAGTCGCCCGAGTCTTCAACGGTACACGTCAATGCCGTCACCATGAAACGGGCTGTCGCTGCTGGAGCTGACGTGTACGCCATTGCGGTGGTAGCAGAGCAACCGAGTGATTTCAAGAAACTACTGGCAGCGGTACCGCCCGAACTACAGGAACTGTTGAAACGATACCCCAGGATTTTTCCCGACGACTTACCGGAAGGGCTGCCACCTCAGCGAGCACATGACCACCGAATAGAATTAGAACCGGGGGCACAGCCAACTGTACAGCGCCAGTTCAGACTGACACAACCCGAGCTCGACGAACTAAGGAAGCAGTTAGATTACTTATTAGAGAAGAAATTCATCCGGCCGAGCTCGTCTCCGTTCGCCGCACCGATACTGTTCACGCCAAAAAAAGACGGAGGGTTTCGCATGTGCATCGATTACCGAGCGCTCAACAGGGTAACAGTCAAATCGCGGTACCCCATTCCCCGCGCCGACGAACTGATCGACCAACTGCGATCATTACGGGTTTTTTCGAAAATAGATTTACGGGGAGGTTACCATCAGATTAGGGTCGAACCATCGGACTGCGCCAAAACAGCTTTCTGGACTAGGTACGGGTCATTCGAGTACCACGTAATGCCTTTCAGACTGACCAACGCACCAGCGACATTTCAGATGACCATGAACGAGGCGTTTAGGCCACTTTTAGATAAATGCGTGATAGTTTACCTCGACGAGATCCTCGTCTACAGTCGCGACAAGCAGCAGCACTTAGCAGATTTGGAAGCAGTGTTGAAGATTTTAGACGAGCATCGGTTTCTGACAAAGGGTTCCAAGTGCGAGTTTTTTCAGGACCGGATAGAGTTTTTGGGGCACGTTATTTCGGAGGCTGGGGTCGAAATTGACCCAAAAAAGTTAGACACGGTGAACGCCTGGCACCCCTCGACGAATATCACGGAACTACAGAGCTTTTTGGGGTTCGTCAATTACGTGCGTCGGTTCGTCCTCGACATGGCACGGTTAACAGCGCCGCTGACGGACTTGTTACGGAAGGGGGTCGTTTTTACGTGGGGGGAGAAAGAGCATGCTGCCTTCTCTGCCCTGAAAAATGTTCTCTGTTCACTGCCCGTCCTGCGCATCGCCGACCCACACCGCCCATTCGAAGTAGTTACCGACGCAAGCGACATCGCCATCGGAGCCGTACTGCTACAAGACTTCGGCAACGGCCTATAGCCCATCGCATACGAATCACGAAAACTGAATCCGCCCGAGAAAAAATACCCGATACACGACCGCGAAATGTTTGCGATCGTGCACGCGTTCAAAGTGTGGCGCTGTTACTTGACCGGCGCAGACGTGACAGTACGGACAGACCATAGATCACTACAGTACCTCCGCGCACATCCACACCTCAACCCACGACAGATTCGCTGGCTCGATTTTCTCGAGTCCAATTTTCACTACACGGTCACCTACAAAAAGGGAGCCTCGAACATCGCCGACGCACTGACCCGCCCCACTGCCCAGATCCATGCAATACTACTCGCACAGACCAGCCCCCTACTGACAGGCCTATTTACCCACGGGTACCAAACGGATCCATTCTTCACAGGAGGAAATTCGCAGCAGTTCGCAGCAGCAAGGGGAGTCTATTACGTAAAAGCCGGGACCGACCGCATCTGGGTGCCTGGGTATACACTGCTACGGGAATTACTGTTACAGGAGGCACACGACGGAGTTACCTCGGGGCATTTCGGGGTAGAGAAAACACGGCAACATCTGCAGCGGTATTATTACTGGCCCGAGATTTTGACCGACGTACAACGACACGTGGCATCGTGTCCCACTTGCCAGCTCATGAAATCATCACGGCAGCGGCCGGCTGGACAGTTGCAGCCGATACCACCCCCAGAGCGTGCTTGGCAGCAGGTGACGATGGACTTCGTCACGGGGTTACCGGCTGGGGCGAGTGGGAACGACGCGATCCTGGTCGTCGTCGATCGCCTGACGAAAATGGCACACTTCGCAGCCTGCAAAAAATCAATCACAGCCGAAGAAACAGCTCGACTTTTCATCTCCACCGTCGTTCGGCTTCACGGGATACCATCAGCGATCATCAGCGACCGCGACACGAAATTCACCAGCAACTTCTGGCGGAACCTGTGGCAACAGTTCGGCACGCGACTACAGTTCAGTTCTTCGTACCACCCCGAAACCGACGGACAGACAGAACGGACAAACCAGACTATGGAGCAACTCATCCGAGCCACGTACGACGACCCAACCACTTGGGAACAACAGCTGCCACTCATTGAGTTCGCATACAACAACTCACCATCGGCCACAACCCAACAGTCACCGTTTTACCTGAACTACGGACAAGACCCGACAGTACCCATGACCCCGAATCCCGACAACCCGGTGCCACGAGCACAACAGTTTGCTGAAATTTTACAAGCAGCACGGACCCGGGCAGCAGACGCAATAAAAAAATCGAACATCATCGCTAAACGTAACGCCGACCGCCACCGCCGACCTGTCACTTACCAACCTGACGACCTAGTTTTACTCGACACTGAGAACCTCCGCCTGCCCATCACCCCAAAACTCCGCCCCCGATATTGCGGGCCATTTCGCATAAGCCACATGATTACGCCCGTCACCGCCCATCTCCTCCTCCCCGCTGACTGGTACGTTAGCCCCTCATTCCACGTCAGCCTGCTTCGCCCTTACATCCCGTCCACAAGCCAACTGCCACGTAACCGCCCAGCCAGCATGACACGACTGCCGACTGAACCAATCATCACCCCCAAGAAAATTCTGAGCCACAGAGTTCGCGACCCTCGAGGAGCCCGAAGGATCGAGTTCCTGATCCGCTGGAAGGACCGTACACCCACCGAAGACAACTGGGTTCCCCTGGACAGAGTCGAAAATCACCCCGTCCTCACAGAGTATCTACGCAGCCGAAACTTCAGGAATGTACACGCACTTTCGTAAGGAGGACCTCCTTAGGGGGGTGGGTTGTGTAAGGAAAATTCATTTTCCTTACTCCGCATCCCCGCTCAGCGCGTACACCACTGTAGCACCACAGTCAGCACCGTTACCACTCGCAAACCCTCGCATCGACAATCCTCCCGCCACCTTCGCACGTCGCACCCCGACCTCACGGCTCGGCTGGTAACCCGCGCTCCGGGCCTCCGTTTCGACATTTTTCCCAAACCTCAGTCCAAGGCCCGTCGCGCGACAACCAAAGTCCATTACCGTTACCACTGTAGTTTTGCTATATATTCTTCGCTCATGTCTTCGCTCATTGTACTCTTGCTTCGATAGTGCAATCCTCGCTCGATCACCCAGTAACAGTTAATCACAATAAATTAGCCCTATAAAAGGTGTGCATTTTCTTAAAGCGCAAAACATGTTAGAGGGCTGTGATAGAAATTAATGGCATATTGGAGAGCGGATTCTAACACAAGTGATGTACGAGGTATGCAAGGTTCAACGCGGGTACGAAATGTGCTGCCGAATCACATTGCAGTTTGCGGAACCGATATTAAAAACCAGGAACTTGTGAGAATTTTTATTGGAATCAACATAATCGCTTCGTGATGTAGTGGATTTTGTTCCACAGTTTGTTTAGAACAAGAGTAGATGTTACGAGTGCAATTGAGTGAACGGACGAGAATTGCACTATCGAAGCAAGAGTCCAATGAGCGAAGGCATGAGCGAAGAATATATAGCGAAACTACAGTGGTAACGGTAATGGACTGTGGTTGTCGCGCGACAGGCCTGGGACTGAGGTTGGGAAAAGTGTCGAAGCGGAGGCCCGGAGCGCGGGTTACCCGCCGAGCCGTGAGGTCGGGGTGTGATGTGCGAAGGTGGCGGGCGGATTGTCGATGCGAGGGTTGCGAGTGGTAACGGTGCTGACTGTGGTGCTACAGTGATGTACGCGTTGAGCAGGGATGCGAAGTAAGGAAAAGGAATTTTCCTTACAGTAGATAAAAGTGGTAACAGATGTGGTCAGCGTTTGGCTGGGTGCACACGACGTGATGCTCTGTGTACTTCAGCCCATTCACTTTGCTCACTGGTTGAACGGATGAAGCTCTCAGGAATATGCCTGCGTGGCATGCCCCAACTGGCTGCTCCTCGTCACATTCATTTCCCGCCTCTCGTCCCCTCCGTGCTTGAACCACCACCTACTCTGTGCCTTGCTGTGCGAGCCTTGCCTGGAGCATAGCACATTCCCTTGGGACTAATCCTGTCGCTCTCGTTTCTCTGCTCAAACCCTTCCCCTCCCAAAACTTGGAGCTCGTCTCGACGAAGCTGGACTGGTCAGCTGTCGAGGTTTGAGGTCTTCGCGGACATGACCGTTGACCTTGAGTTTCGTTTGCAAGCCAGAACTATCCTGATTTCGCCAGACCAAGCCCTGTGCGATAATGGTGGCGCGGTCCGCATGTTTAGTGCAGGCGGGCCTGGATCCACTCCCACACACAGCGGCGGCAGCGAGCCGTCGCTGCAATCCGTCACGCCGTCGTCATCGACGTCGGAGCTCTGCGGGTCGTCAGACGAAGTGGACGAGCAGAGTTCGTCCGCGCCAGTGGCTCATGCAGTGGCGCAGCTGCTGGAGGCGCTTGGGGAGGATCCCTGCCGCCACGGCCTCGTCAAGACGCCTCAACGCGTCGCCAGAGCCATGGATTCCGCCACTCAAGGTACTTGTCGGTACTTAGGGGGGTGGTCATTGCTAACCGATCGTTCTCCATGGGGGATTAATAGCTCTTCGTGCTGTCGTCGCTCAACGCTGCCAACTTCACCATCATTTGAAACCACAGTCCGGAGGCCTAGTGGGTCATTCTTTCTAGGCTGTCGCTTTGTTCCCCGACACTTGCATGAGCTCCCTTTGGATGCTTCTGCATTCTGTTTTGTCCAGAGAACCCTCTTTTGACCGCCGACGATATCTCCTCTCCTTGCCACACTTTCTTTCTTCGCCCTTCTGATTGTTCTTGCCTCTTAACCCTTTGTCTCTGTACCTCATGGTGCCCCCCGCTTTCAAATGCTCTTTCCTAACCCTTACAACCCCTCTCGTGTTTGCTAGTCTGGCTGCAACCTAGGCTTGTCCACACGTTGATCTCAACGATACTCCTCGGATCCTCCCCCCTCCCACCCATCCCCCCTAGCACCCATCCCCACACCCATCTCCCTCTCTCCCTTTCCCTATCTCCCTCTCTCCCTCTCCCCGTTCCCTCCCTCCCGTTCACTTACTCATCGTATGCTCTTATTCCACTTGGATCTTGGCCGTCATCGTGCCCTCCTTCTCCTTCACCCGGCACTCCCGCGCAGGCTACAACCATGGCGCAGTGCGCATAATCCTCTCAGCCATATTTTCCGAAGGTCCGGCAGTCGGCAATTCCGCACAAGGGGGCGGTGCAGGGGGGTTGGTTCTGGTGCGAGGTATTGACACTTTTGCGTTGTGTCGAGGCTGCTTGCTTCCGTTGCGGCTGCGCTGCCACGTGGCGTACGTGCCGCACAGCCATCGGGTGGTGGGCCTCAGCAAATTGCCACGCGCGGCCGTGGCTCTCTCGCGTCGCCGCGTGTGCGCGCAGTCCTTGGCGCGCCTGCTATGCCGCACAGTGGAGGAGGCGTTGGCGCCGCTGGGCGTGGCAGTGGTGGTGGAGGCATCGCACCTCGTTGGGCTCGAGGAGAGCGTCACTGCCGCTCCTACCCGTGCGGACAACCTGGATTCGCGCGCAAGTGTCGGCTCTAGCAGCGAAGGAGCGGTTGGATGGGCGCGGGAAGGCGAAGCTGGGCACGAGTTGGCGTGTGGCGCAGTGGGAGTATTTTCGAAGCAGAGCGAGCTGGTGGACGAGGTGCTGGCGCTGCTACACTTGGACCCCGATGCCGTCTCCGTCGCGCTTCTAGACGATGCTGCCGCTCAAAGGGGGGATGTGGACTTGACCGGAGCAGACGAGACCCTAGAAACCAGCGTATCCGGCGTGACGGAGTTGCCTGGGGACGCTGTTTGCCCTGTGCTAAGGCCACGCGCGTCAGGGAGGGTAGTGCCAGGCCGAGCAGTGCGCAGCATTTGTGGTGACTGCGACATGCGTGTGTGGCTGTCACGTTGTCTACCGGGGCCCGCTCTCAGCGGTGCAGGCGGTACTGCCCTCCAGGAGGCCATCCCAGACTCGCGGAGTACAGACGGTCTCCTTGCCTCGTGGCGCCTGCTGTGCCAGTGGCTGGGTGCGAGGGAAGAGATGGGCGCACAGCAGTGTGGTGAGAAGGTGCCGCTGTCAGAGGCAATGCAGGCTGACGACGAGGGAGGAACACGCGGGCAGGTGGACCAACAGAAGCTGAGGGGTACAGCAGAAGCGGTCACAGAGACGGATGTGGATGAGGCGAGAGTACCATTGTCAGGCCTGTCCGTGTGTGTTGCTCGATACCTCCGCTATCTCTCTGCCGCCACACGTGGCACGCACCTGCATCTGCACGATGTTCTTGCCCTTCCCGAGTCATCAGAATGCCGCTTGCGCCCTCCGAATGGAACACATGATGCTGCTTGTTCGGTACCTACAAACGAGGACAAAGTAGTAGCTTCACATGATGTAGAGAGCATGGAGAGGAAGGGGGACCCATGCACTCAGCCTGAGGCCGCTGCATTTGGCGGCAGAGGAGCAGGCGAAGCACTGTTGCCGGAAGCTGTGGTGCGCGGAGAGCAGAGCATTAATGGAGTTGATGGACAGCATGTAGCGGCTGGGTCTGGTATGCCACCCAGAGCAGTTGGGGGCGTGCACACTGCGTGCAGGCTCACAGATATTCCCATGGAGATGCACTTGGCTGCGCCTTTCTCATCTCTCTGTGAACACCACCTGCTGCCTTTCTTTGGGGTTGTCCATGTGGCAATTTGCCGATCACAAGTCTGCTCAACCACCCTCGCGTCCCCCGCCACTGCAGCCGCTGCTGAGCCAGCGGCGCCCCTTCTGTCAGCGGAGGCATTACCTGCTATCTGCTGGCTCTATGGCCGTCGACTACAGGTTCAGGAGCGTTTCACCCGCCAGGTGGCAGAAGCAGTCATGGAGGCATGTGGTGGGCAGGCCGAGGGGGTGATGGTGGTGGTGGAGGCACACCACATGTGCATGATTGTCAGGGGTGTGGAGAAAACGGCCACCACCACATCGACTGTTGCTACATTTGGCACCTTCTCTTTGTTTCCGCGCATGAGAGCCAGGTTCCTTAATACGCTGCCACGGACAAACCCACGGTGATGGTGGGTCACCGTATGAATGAACTCTCTACACACTTGGACATCCATTCCAGGGGCTACACGTTTTTTTGTCAATTCATGTCAGTGTTTGGCTATCATTAAGCGCTCCCCAAGTTTTGCATCTGGGCAATCTAGAAGTAACGATGCGCTCATTTACCAATTTCCATCTTTGTTTAAACAGGAATGCATGGATGGATGGAATGTGGAATGGACTCCTGAACCTGAAGCATCCCAGAGAAATCCTGGACTCCTGACCCAAAGACTACACCACTATAACTGATGACTGCTTAGGACGTTCCTCCTTTTTTGCTGTACAGAGGCATGGGTACTATACCAGGCTCAGTATACCGTATCTGAAACATGAGGAGAATATCCATGTAAATCAAGGTGCGTAATTATAAGAATTTCATTTGCTAGAGTTTCTGGCGAGCTTGTATAAATATCGAAGCTGTCCTTACTGTTATATCACCTTTATCACCATCTGGAAGGCTGGTGTGCTAGGGTTTAGCCATGAGTGCCCTTGGCTAGGTGCTGGTGGATATCCGAAGGTTCCCCACCTTCTATCATCAACACGCCACTTGTCAGCATTTCAGTGGCGCGGTGTTGAAATGGCTTCGATAGTGCTTCGATTCAAGATGACAGCTGCTTCATGCGTTCCCAGCGTTTTCGTCATTCGGATCGTAAAGCTGGGAATGTTTCGCCACTCACTTCGTCCGCACCATACATGGTTCTCGTGCGCTAGCGATCTCAGAAATCAATCACTTTCTGGTAACTTGGTCAGCACCACAAGCCTCTCGACCTTCCTTTCAGACTTTCTTCATGATTAACAGCAGCTCAAGCCACTTCCTGCCCTCCTCAGTCCGCCAACGTTGCTGAGCCTGTTTCTGCGACCCGCACCCTCTCCATTGCTACCGCTGTTTGCTGACGATGTCTGAATCAAGCGAGAAGGCATCTGCAGGTGCGTAGTTTCGTAACCGTGGTGCCTTGATACTGCATATGTAGCGTAGCGTCTGTCTCCTTACTACTTCATGCTGTCTTGTGAAATCACAGTCACCGCGGAGGCTGTCCCCGATACTAAGGCGGAGTCGACTACCAGCGATGCGGCTGCGGCTGGATCGGAGGCGAAGGCTACAACTCCTGGCGGTCCACCCAACGCCTTTGACTTTTCAAGCCTCGCTGGAGTTCTCAATGTTCGTTTCTCTATTTTCTCAAGCATAGTTTGCATGCATACCCGCACGTCGTATGTCACCGCCTTTCGAGATTTTTTTCCCGAGAGTGTCTGATGTGATCTCACGGCAATTTGATGCGCTTGTGTATGCATGCAGGACCCATCTATCAAGGAGATGGCAGAGCAGATCGCCAAAGATCCCTCTTTCTCTCAGATGACACAAGAGCTCCAAGGAAGCGTGAAAGTTGGTAGTGATGGCGCTCCCCAACTTGATCCCCAGCAATACATGAAGGTAAGATTCTAGACCCTGGCACTTAGTCACGTCATTCCTTAACATTCGATTCATCACGATACGACGGGTTCCTTCACACCTGCCTCTTGTGTATTTTTGCAGGCGATGCAACAAGTGATGTCGAACCCAAGCTTCATGACTATCGCCGAGAAGTTCGGCAACGCTCTGATGCAGGTTAGGTCTCTGACTTTCGCTTGTTCCGATTGTGATTTTTGCGGTTGTTTAAAACAGATAAGCGGTATGTCGATTGCATGGTAGTCGTAGAGGTTGTGTTTTGCGAATTATACGTCTTACTGACCTGCTGTCCTGTTTGTTTCTGGGTTTACATGTGTCCGCAGGATCCTCAAATGATGACTATGATGCAGACTCTCCAGAACCCGTCGTATCGTGATCAGATGCAGCAGCGGGTAGCTGCCATCAAGGAGGATCCTTCTTTGAAGTCTGTCCTCGAAGAGCTCGAGACTGGGGGCCCTGCAGCAATGATGAAGTATGTTTCTCTTACGCCGTTCTTATTACGATGCGGCGGAAAGTCACGAGGATTTGGTCTCAGGCTGTTCTTCTGTTCTTATACTCGCCTGTGCTCGCAGGTACTGGAACGATCCTGAGGTTCTGGGCAAGCTTGGCAAGGCCATGGGCGGTGCGTTCCCTATTCCTCCTCACATGGCTGGAGCAGCTGGTCCGTCTGGCGAGGAAGATGCTGCAGATGAGGCAGCAGAGGGAGAGGAAGAATCTCCTTCACTTCATTCCGCAGCGAGCAACGGCGACGCAGAGGTATTTCTCATTCCCTGTAGCCTTGTCGGGTCTCACTTGTTCTCTCTTCTTCCATGCCCGGTGTCCTTTACTGCTTTGATATTAAAGAACCTCGTCCTGAGCATCGCGGAATGAACGGATACGTATGTGCTCAAGATGTGCAGAAGGGATAACCATGTCATAAACTTCGAGTAGCTTTCTCTGTTGTTGGTGGAAAGGGTTGGGAAGAAGTTTCAAATATGGCTGCATATCGCATATAGCTGACATGGAACAGCCAAACCACTGGATGGTGGTTGCTTATTGTCCTGCACAAATCTGGCTGGTTGTTCTTACAGGAGGTGAAGCGGCTGATCGCTGAAGGAGCAGATAAGAACGAGAAGGATGGCGAGGGAAGGACAGCCCTCCATTTTGCATGTGGATATGGCGAGGTATGTTGAAGAAATTGCACATTAAACTATCTCGAATCGAAGCTGGATCACGCCTTACTGACACACTCATGATCTGGGCAGGTCAAGTGTGCGGAGGCACTTCTTGATGCTGGTGCTGATGTTGACTCTTTGGACAAGAACAAGAACACGCCTCTGCATTATTCGGCTGGCTATGGGCGCAAGGAGGTTGTGGAGCTGCTGGTCAAGAGTGGTGCTGCAGTGTGAGTTTTTCAGCTCTGTTTACTAAACCGTTGTCACACTTTTATGACATGCAGCCCCTTAGGATGTTTCTTTTTTTCTCTGTATCTCTCTTCCCCTGTCCTCCATCGGCTACTCTTGGCAGCACACTGAGGAACCTGGATGGCAAGACAGCAGCAGATGTGGCCAAGTTGAACAGCCAGAAGGAGGTGGTTGCGCTCTTGGAAAAAGATGCATTTTTGTGAGCTGATATGGTCGGATCTAGTTGTTGCCTGGCTGTTCAACCCTCAGAAGGCGTTATGCGTTAGATATTTAGTCAACTCTCAGAAGCTACAGTACATCTGCAGTAATGTAATCTGCATGAGCCGGAGTATTCTTGTTGTCATGATTGTTTCAGTACCTTCAGTTTTGAAGGTTCACATCTGAATGAAGCTTGTGCCTGTGGTTGGTGCTGGTCTTATACACTAGAGAAACTGGGTGGGAGAGGTTGCCAGAAACTCTGAAGTTCCAGGTCTCTAGGGTACTGATCATCAGTTTATTAGACAATGATTGGCAAAACTCTGGACAGGGTGTGTGTGCGAACCTCAATGAAACTGGGTGTAAGAAAATATGCCAGACGGAAGCAGAAGGTCTGAAGCCACTCAATCAAGATTACACTTCAAACACAACTCCAAGATCAGAAGAACTTCTGGTAAACGAGGATCAGAGAATGCTTCTCAGTTTAGACAATGTCTGGCTACAAATGCTACTGAAATACTGGGTAAAAAGCTGCAACTTGCCCTCGTTGCTTCAGCTTAGCAGTGCCTTCTCAATGGTCTCTTTCAGCTCCCCACTTTGGAAACCCTCTGCACAACACAAGCCCACAGAAACACGACAACGTCATAAACGCCTGCCAATGCATATCAACGCATGGTGCCCAGAAGGGCCAAGAACTTACCAGTCCAGCATCATCACTCTTAACTCGCAATATGGTCAAACACTCACCTCAAACACCAATTGAAAAGTTAAGCAGGACTGACTCACATCGCTCAAACGACTGCCTGGCCTCTCTTCTTACCGATAGTAATATCACAACCGCCATAAAACTCCCCATCGATATATAGCTGGGGGAAAGTAGGCCAGCTGCTGTATTCCTTCATGCCCTGTCGTAGCCGGTCATCCTCAAGAATATTGACAGTCTCAAACGGCACGTTCAGCGTGGTGAGGATCTGAACGCAGGTGTTAGAGAAGCCGCACTGCGGAAACTGCTTGTTGCCCTTCATGAAGAGAATAACTTTGTTCTCCGAAATGAACTTATCTAGTGCCGACTTTAATTCCGGCGTAAGTGCTGCAATGAGAGTCGGGGAGAATTGACGGAGACGGTGGTGAGACGTGAGCAGCAGAAATTACGTTGTTCGTAGCGTGATTATGAAATATGCATGGAAGGCGACGGCCCACAGAAAACTGGTCTATAGACACTCGCAGCCGGGATTGGGCAAGCTTGCGGACTGATAACATGGGCCACGGCCACGCGAGAGCAAGCATTGCACCGAAGTTCCTTTGACCGAAGGAACTGCCTTATCCTTTGAGGCCCAATTTGCATAGCTCAGACGAGATGCAACATACTACCACGTTCGACAGGAGGAAACAGACGAGGAAAATCTCGTAAACGTTAGGACATGCATTCCACTACGTGACATACCGCCGGAGCTCGGTGCGCCGAAGCTAGCCCGCACATCTGGTCTCCTGTGCGGTGCTGCCACGACAGCTCGCGAAGCACTGGCATGGCGGCGTAGCGGCACGGCGAGGAATGAAGAGGACAGACGTGCGCTCCTAGCTGCCACGGGCGAGGGGCAACCCTGCCTGAGGTTCGCAGACACGGCAGGGGCGAAAGTGGTGGTAGCCATTCTGGCAGCAAGGCACGATAGCTAGGATGCAGTGGAATGGAATGATCAAGTGTAGTGAGGAGAAAGAAAGGGATGGGTAAAGTGATTGCTGGAACTGGGGACGAGTTCAAAATCCAAAGAATGTGCTGACGTGGTCGCTCAGCGAGAACATTCTAATAAATACCTGACACGCGGCACTGCATTATTTGGTACACCGACCGGTTCAGCCAGCTCGTGTTCGGGACTGCAGGCGGTAAAGTGTAGCTTTGGGGGCTCAAGTACGGTACATGAATCTCGGGCATTCCCGATTCAATGCACGAACGGAAAGATCGTCCTGTAACACTAGGATTACGGCCCAAAGGTTGTGAATCTACATACATTGACTTTGTTCTTTACAAGTGTAAGAAAATTATTTTACTAGTACATGTGGCACACAGGGCATAACTTCAAGATAGCGTAAGGCATACCATTGAAGTGAACAGACAATACGGTATGTCAGAAGTCCTCAATGTCTTCGATATCATTATGAGCATCTTGATCAGAAACAGCAGCTTCTGTTTTGGCGCACCTTCCCATAGATTCTTGCAGCAAACCATGCAGCGAACGTAACTGTGCCACGCTGATGTCAGATGCAATGTCAGCACTATTGCCCCTGAGAGAGCCAAGTGGCAAGCTTTGGCTTGCTGCAAGAGTAAAGCACTCTGACCGCAACTCCAGGAGTGATGCCTGTCATTTGCAGGGAACAGGGTTTGACATAGACCCGTGAAAGGGGCATGGATACAACAAAACGAAGAAAGGAATTTGTGAAGTTCGCTGAAGTTGGGACTGCAGACGCACAGGAAAGTGCAAGGGGATAGCCACTGAAGCAGCATGTGATGAGATGCTGAGCTGCTAAGCGTGCTGCAGCGTACCAGCAAGTGTAGAGAGAAAGCTTACCTTATTGCGGCGCATTTGTGCTTCAGTGGCCCAAACAACTGGTGAGCGAAAGGCAAAGAACCTGCAGAAGCAAAGAACCCAAACAACTGTTGAGTACACACAGGCATGGCGCGAGCAAGAGCCTTTTTTGTGAACACCCTGAATGGACATAGCTCAGAACGTCAACAAACTGCAACATCTCAAGGGACAAACACCACAAATCTCTCTTCTCCGCCGCATGTATCTCCCCCCGTCCTTCCCCCTCTCTCCCTCCCCAAATGCCATAGTCTGACCGTTTGGGAGCAGGCTGAGTGTTCCAGAACATGACTCCCCTGGCTGCCACGGACGCTGCTGCTGCTGCACGCACTGCTGCAGGTGAGAGATCCTCATCCCCCCCACCCACGCCATCTGCTGCCATACTGCTGCCACCAGACCACGAGGAGAGGTGCGAGGAGGAGGAGGAGAGGAGCGTAAGCACGTCACTGAGAGCAGCACTTGCACCCACCGCAGCTTCCAGGCCGTCACATGGATGCAGCATGTCCAACACTGGTGGGTCATTCCAGAGGGCACGGAGAGAGCGTGCAAACATGTTCAGAGAGGGGGAGGGGAGGCAGATGAAGGGAGCACAAGGAGAAATGAAGGTGTAACTACAGGCTGTTGCTGTTAGAAGAAGGAGGAGGAGTAGGAAGAAGAAAGGGAGGGGGAGGTGGTTGTGGTAGTAGTGGCGGAGCAGACAGAGGTGCAAGAGTACGTCCAAGAGCTGCAATGATGTGCATGGGCGGCCATCCATGTCCAACTACCATGGCACCCCCCAGGTCGTGACTCACTGTTCTCATGCAGGTAGCAGCAGAGCTTCATGGGGGCGATCTGGGAGCGTTGAATGATCACCTCTGCTGCCTCCATGTCCACCGCCGCTCGCTGCAACTCCTCCCGCACCGCCACTGCACTGCCTCCACTCACCCCATCACCACCACTGCTTTCCATGCCACCATCACCAGCATTGCCTATAGGTGCATCAGGGCCAGGAGCGCACTGATGACTGTCCCCTGTGATCACCTGCTGTGAGCTGGACTGCCCCCACTGCTGCCACCTGAGTGGATTCGCCACCCACTCACGCTCACTCCGCTGCTCTGCTTCTGCCTTGTGCTGGGCTGCAGTGGGCACACAGCACACACACAAGCGACATTCCAGAGAGGTGTTTAGTTTGGGGAGGGGGATGGGGATGGGGGATGCGACCCGACTAACGTTTGCTCGTTATTTTCTTCAATTATCCCACTAGGGCAAGCAGCAACAAACGAAGGGGCATGGAGAACAATCACCACAGCCGGCTACGTGATAAGAATGGAGACTGCAACGTGACTTCCGTTGTAGTGTGCAAAGGCCACAGCACAAGCGTACAGGTGTGCAGGGAAGCAGGTGGGCGGGAGTGTCACCTGCAGGGAGGCGCTTATTGTGGAGGAACTTTCCCACGGCGTGGAAGAGAGACAGCGGGTCGTCACGACCTGCACCCACCGCTGCATCCTCTGCACCTCCACTGCTCCCCCCTGCACCAGCAGTAGCAGCACCACCACTCCCAGGTCTCAACACCCCTCTGTTGCATCCGCCCTCTTCCTCTCCTCCACCACTTGACTCACAATGCGTTAAATCCACCAACTCAGTTGAACCTCGCGATTGTTGCACCTTCCTCTTCTTCCTCCTTTTCCCCTGCTCCGTCCCTTCACTTTTTGACCCACTACATCCCTGTTCCCCCCCTTCCCCCATCCCCACGCTGCCCCTGCCCCCAGCAGCAGCACCCCCAGGGTCCCACGTGTGGCTGGGGGGCTGGCGGGTGGAGAGGGAGAGCAGCTGTAGCTGCGAGATGGCATGGCGCAGGTCCCCTGCACTGCTCTCCGCCACAGCCGCTACAGCCGGGGCGGCTAGCGGGGATCCTGCCGCCGCTGCCACGGCTGCCAGCGCCTTGTGCATGGCGCCTGGTGCTATGGGGTTGAACTCCACCTGATGCCCACACGGCACCCATATGCACGGTGCACGGGCATGGGGAGGGAGAGGAAGGCAGCCAGGGGAAAGACGATGTGCAGAGAAAGGCAGAGAAAAGGTCACGCATCAAGCCGGGTGACAAGTGCGCGAAACTGTGCAGGCTGTCGGGTAAGCATAGGACCATTCCAAAGGGCTTGCCACGCGTGTGCATGATTGTATGAACACAGGAAATGTGTGATGCGACAGCACTGGAAAAGAAACGGTGTGTGGGTGTGTCTGTAGACACGTGGATGCTGATGCGGGCAGAAATACCAATGTGTGCATAACTTGCTAAGAACACTTCGTGTTCTCGGCACATGCAGCAGCCCACCTTGTGAGCCCCTCCACTCATCAACGCATCCAGCACATCCCGCGTGGGCACCCCATCCCCCTGCCTCCACTCGCCTCGCATCCCTCCACGTGCACCGCCTGGAGCAGAGGCGCTGGCAGCGGAGGTGGACGTGGTGGGGAGGGAGAGCACGACCACAGCCGGCACATGCGAGGCAGTGGCCAGCGAGTGCATGGCGTGGCACAGCGCGTCACAGCGCTGCCGCCCCGACACGAATGGCAGGTCGTCGATCAGAAGCACATGGCGAGATGGGGAGGCGGGTGAGAGCGAGGTGGATGGTGATGGCGGTGCCGGTAAAGCTGGCGGTGACGGTGGCAGCAGAGGGGACGATGGGACCGCAGATGCTCCCACATGCCGCCCACTCACCACAGCACCTGGTGCGCTGCCGTCCTGGCTTCCACGCTTTACCACCTGTTTTTTCTCCTTGGCCTTGCCCCGAGCACCATGAGCATCACTCGATTCGCGGAATGATGGCAGCCACTCCTCATCGTCACCACCATCCTCCTCATCAGCTTCATCACCATCGCCATCACGCGTCTCCCCAACACCCTCCCACGACTCAACACTGTTGCTCCTCCTACCCTTACTATTCCCCTCCATCCCCTTCGTCCCACCAGCTTTCGCTTCCTCACGCCCCGTCTTCTCCCCTCTCCGCCCCTCTCTCACTCCCTCTGGTCGCTGCACAACGCCCCTCCCACGACTTGTAGTCTGCCTCTCGGCCGCTGAAACAGGCAATGAAGCCTTATTCCGCTTGCCCGACAAAGGGGGGCGAGAAGGGGGCGGCATCGTGGAGGGCAAGCGATGGGAGGTGGGAGAAGCGGTGGGTGGGGGGGAGCGAGCGGAAGGTTGCGGTGCTTGAGGTGGGGCGAGAGTGGGTGCGGGAGTGGTAGTGGAAGTAGGAGTGGGCGCGGTGGAGAGGGCGAGGGGTGAGAAGAGGCGCGAGGAGCGGATGAAGTCGGAGAAGCTGGCGAGCTTCTCCTGGTGCTCCACGCCTGTGGGGCAGGGGGTCACACACACGACACGACACGAGCACACAGCAGTGGGGCGGGAGCAGCACTTGTCGTGAGCAGACCAGAGAAGTGGGGGGCAAGGGGCATGACACTGCTGCATTGCATCCCCTTTCTCCGCTGTTCCTGCTGCTGCTGCGCTCTCTGAGGGCTGTAAAGAGCAGTGGAAGGCACATGGAGGGCTTGAGGGCCGTACCAGCAGCAGCCTGGGAGGAGCGGATGTGGCGGCGGTCGTCCCACAGCAGTGGCACGGGCGCCTGCCAGTCCTGCACCGTCACTCCCCGTGCTGCTGCCACCACGTGCACCAGCGCCTGCATGCTCACACACACACCAGCACGGCCCATGGGATATACACGGGGGTCATGCATGCTCGAGCGTGTGGACAACCTTACAAAAGTCAGCTATGGTGGTAGAGGCAAGAAGCAAGGCGGTTGGATAGAGCGAGCAAGAGGGAGAGAGGGGAGAGGACTGACCGTCTTTCCACATCCCGGGGGTCCCACCAGCGCGAGCACCTTGCTGGGCTGCTGCCATGAGCTCTCTTGCACCCATCATCAGCACGTGCATCATGGCAACACATGCACGCCCACACACCATGGCCGTCAGGGAGGGTTGCGGAAAGGTTGAGAACGGTATGGTTGCTGAAGGTTGGTGGCATCAGAGTGCAATAGATGAGAGTATGCTGGTAGAGTGGCCAGAGGCCGCAGAGCCCAGCAGCAAGCAGTTGTTAAAGGAAGACAAGCGGCACACAAGGAGCGTGTGGGAAACGGTGCTGCTGTACCTTTGTACTAGCATCGCCCTTGTGCCCCCCTCCTGCCGCCTTCTGCTTGCTCCCTTTTCCCTTGCTCTGCTGCACCGGCCTGTGCATGACGGGTGGGCCGAAATGCGCGTCGAACCACTGCGACACCTCCTGCACCTGTTGGTACCCATGCACGCCACGGGGTTGGGTTAGGGCAACCATGTTTTGCATTGGCAACGAACGAGTTACATGGCGTTGATCAATACATAGCAATTTTGTATGGCTTGGGCAATGAGCTACGATCACATTGGTAGTACCAGGTATACTTGATTTGTTTTCTAATGTTCATTTGGTGCTTGATCTGGCTAATACAAAAAACACTTGGCTGACTGCTTTCGAATCTGCTCCTTGCTTCCGTTACTTCGCTGAGTGTTGGACAATGCTCAAGACACAAGACACAGAGCATTGCGAACAGGGGAGCACACGGCGGCTCACCTTTTTCCGGTGCACGGCCAGCTCGTCCTCCCACTTGGGCGCGAACCGCTCCACCCACAGCCCCGCGCCCATCCCGCCCTCGCCATCCCCGCCGCCAGGTGACACGTCACCACTGACACAGCTCGGGCTGCCAGTGCGTGGCGAGGTGCCGGATAGCGGGACGGCTTCGGAATGCGACTTGCGGTTGGGAATGCGCCAAGCTTGAGTAGAGGTGAAACTCGTGGCCTGACTGGCGCTCACCGGGTCGTCCAAATCCACCAGATCGAACGTTAGCTTCTGCTGCTGGAACGGTTTCCCTCCCTTCTCGACCTTGCTGCTTGACTGGCGCTTCTGAGAATCTCTCACCTCGCTCGATGAACCACCCCCTTTCTTTCTCTTGCCCTTCATACCGGCTAAATTCTCACCACCGTATGGCATCCGATGATCCGATAAAGAACATGTCTTGGCCGATGATCCGAAGAATGGACTGGAGAATTGTGTGTTGCTCTGTCCCTGATGCGAGCAAGGATGAGCTGAGCAGGAATCGTGTCTCGTCAGGCTGGACTCGAGACTGGTAGGATTCGACTTACAAAACAAGAGCTATGATGTCATTGGTTGAGACGAAGATATATCCTAAATAATTTACCTACCAGCCATGCATAATTTATAACAGATGGATATTAATAACATGCGAATACGTCTGAAACCATAATAATACATAAAATTTTACAAATTATAGAGTGGCAACTATCATGTACAGGAAGTAATATATAGTGCCAGGATGAGAGTTTTTATAAGGACATCAAATTTCATGTTTTATCAAAGTTGATGTGGTGGAAGGTCTTTGGAAGACATGTTCATCCGAGCTGTGTGTGGTTTGGAGGTGTCCCGCATTTCGCGCATTGTCCAGTTGGCGTCCTCTGGTTGCTCCTCCTGCTTCCCGCTCTCTTGGAGTTGAGTGCCAATCTTTTCATCCAGCAATGTTCCGGCACGTGTATGAGCGAACACGTCAGATCTCTGCTTCTGGTGATGGTGGATCCATGGCAAGCCTGCGTGTCACTGGAAACAAGGCAATGTTTGATTTGGAAGTGCGTGAGAGCGATGCGTGATTCGCGCGCATAACTTCGCTGCGCAGGAAGGTTCTATGGCTCCTCGATTCTGCATCAATGCAGCAAAACTGTCTGGAATGTGAATGGCAGCAAGTGGAAGAGATGCCTCCTCCATCCATACATATACCACCATGTGATGGTCACCTTTTAATTCCATGCACTAGTAGCATCTCAGTCTCCCTCAGCTCCTCGTCTGCACTTCACTCTTGCCCTTAGATCCGCGCTGCCTCCCACACTAAACATGGCTCTCCGTCTCGGCGCTCATCCCCTAGCTGTCTCGGTGCCCGCTTCTCAGAGCGTGACGCCTCGTCACTGCCAAGAGGCAAAAAGCGTGGCCCGAGTAACCGTCGTAGCGTCGGCTTCAGCGAAGCAGCCGGAGGTATGTGTGTTCCCGTGCCACATCCACGTGCACCATCATACGCTATGGAAGAACGATATTCTTCCGCAAAGCACCTGGTAAACCATCACAAGTGAAGCATACTCAGAAGACTGCCGTACACATGTGATGATCAACACTTGACTGAAAGTGGGGATAATTGACTCAAGATTCTAGCTTGCAGCCTGATCTGTGCAACTCTCACAAGCTACTTCTCCAATCTTTCTGTATCATTCTTTTTTTTCAAATAGCCAATTACATTAATCCACTCATCCATGAATTCAAATCATGTTTTTTCCTTCACAACGACTCTCTTTCATCAGGATCTCGCAAGGCCTGTGAGTCGTCGGCACGTGATCATTGGTGCGGGCGCGCTCGCAGCTTCCGTATCCCCTTTCTTCGCCGGAGCTCGCAACGCGCTGGCGGAGGAGGAGGGTGCAGAGGAGCTTGCACCTGCGCTCGTGGACGAGGCCGTTGAGGAAGCCACCGTGGAACCCGAGGCCCAGCCCGAGGCACAGCCTGAGGCCGAACCCGAGGCCACCCCCGAGACGGAAGCGGAGGCCGAGTCCGTAACCGAGGCCGAGCCTGAGGCCACCTCCGAGCCGGAAGCGGAGGCCGAGCCTGAGGCCGCCCCTGAGCCAGCGGAGGCCGAGTCTGAGGCCGCACCTGAGACTGAGCCTGAGACTGCGCCGGAACCCGAGGCCGTGGCCGAGGCTGAGACTGAGGCGGAGGGTGAAGCGGAGAAGGAGAGCGAGGTGGAAGTGTTCGGCGATGATGATTCTGATTCAGACTCGGACTCGGAGTACGGCGAGCTGGAGGAGACGCCCGTGCTCAAGGCCATGGCCGAACTCTCCGGCTTCTTGCAGGAGCTCAAGAAACTCGCGGAGTTGCAGTGATTTTGAAGCACTACTGTTTGTGTGTGTGAGAACCCTCAGCTCGTACAACTAGATGCCGCGTTTTTTTCCCCTCCTGTGTTTATTTTTTGTGTGGACGGGGCTTGTTTGTATGCATTCAGCGTGATGTAGTAAAAGGCTAAGAGCAGTTCCAAGTTGGAGTTTGAAGGCAACAATAACCATGCAAATATAAGACTGGTAGGGGGCAACTGTGGGCCCAGAGTATCAGACTCCAGAAACTGAAGCTTGCTGACATGCAGCCACTATGAAGGTAGCAACTGCTGTTTGACTGCTGAGCTGAGCGCTACTGCTCTTTGAAGAAAACAAGAATCTGATTTAATTCAATAAACTATTAAACAGATATACAAGCACACATAGCGAACGGAACAGCTGACAGATATGTACAAATTGAACATGCAACTAACGAAAATTAATGTGCACTACACTACCCTTTATCCATACTGCAGACATGTGCACCAACATTGCCAGGAATGACCCAGCCCACCTTTTCCAGCCTTGAACGGGTCATCATCCCTGCACCTGCAGTGCAATGAGATCGAGCTTAGCCGGGCGATTGTAGCGGCGCAAGAGCAGGGACGAGCACACCACGCTCACAGACGACAGGGCCATGGCAGCACCGGCGATCCAGGGAGGCAGGCGGAAGTGCAGGGGCGTGGGGAAGAACACCCCAGCAGCAATGGGGATGCCCAGCACGTTGTACCCCAACGCCCACACATAATTCAGCCGGATGCGAGTTAGCGCAGTGCGTGCCAGATGAACGGCTGTGATCACATCCTCCAGCGACGACCGCATGAGCACCACGTCAGCTGCTTCTATCGCAATATCCGTGCCGGCACCTATGGCCATGCCCACATCCGCCGCTACCAGCGCCGGGGAGTCATTCACCCCATCGCCCACCATGGCCACCTGCTGCCCCTCCGCCTGCCTCTGCCGCACATACTCCGCCTTGTGCTGTGGCACCGCCTCTGCCACCACGTCGCTGTCTGCTATCCCCACTGCGCGCGCCACGGCCCTGGCGGCGCCCCAGTTGTCCCCAGTGACAAGCACGGGGTGCATGCCCATTGCCTTGAGCAAGGCCACCACGGGCGCTGCCTCGGGCTTCACAGGGTCTGATACTGCCACGCCTGCTACCACCTGGCCGTCCAGTGCCACTAGCACGCCCGTCTGTGCGTCTGCCTGCACCTCCTCCAGCCACTGCTCTGCTCGTGCTGGCACGGGCAGTGGAGTTGTGCAGGGGAGTGCAGTGGGGGAAGGCTCGGATGAGGGGTCGATGGTGGGTGGGTCTCGCATCAGCTTCAAATTGCCCACTGCCACGTGGCGACCGCTGATTTGACAGATGATTCCATGGCCTGGGATGGAGTGGAAGGAGTCGACTGGAGGGAGAGATGAAAGACCTCCTCTGTTGCTGCTGCTGCTGTTGGTAACATTGTGAGCAGGGGCAGCAGTTGAAGGGCCAGAGGAGAAGCTGCATAGCTCGACTGCGGTGCCAGGATGAGAGAGAGGGAGGAGAGGAGGAGGGGACGAGGGAGGCGAGGGAGGTGGGGAAAGAGGAAGCGAGGGTGGAGCTTTGCTAAAGGAGGAGGTGGAGGAGGAGGCAGAGGCAGAAGGGGGGAGGGGGAGGGGCGGGAGTGGGATGTGGGAGAGGGATGGGAGCAAGGAGGGGAGGAGGGGCGAGTGCATGCAGTAGTCGGCGATAGCCTTGGCCAAGGGGTGCTCGCTGTTCGCCTCAGCAGCAGCGAGCAGCGCGAGGAGGTCGGGCATGGCGAGGCGCGAGGTGAAGAGAGCCGTGGCGGTGACGCTGGGCTTGCCCTGTGTGAGCGTGCCGGTCTTGTCAAACACCACCGCCTCTATCTTGTGCGCCCTCTCCAGTGCATCCGCGCCCTTGATCAGAATGCCCTGCTGCGCGCCCACCCCCGTGGCCACCATGACCGCTGTGGGCGTGGCGAGCCCCAGCGCGCACGGGCATGCGATGACCAGCACTGCGATGCCGAACTGCAGTGCCAGCTCGAATGGCGTCATGCCCGTTGGTAGCCAGGACGCGGGGTAGGTGCCGAGGTAGCCCGTGATGAGCCATGCTAGGAAGACCACCAGTGCCAGCAGCACGACCTGTTGGGGGGGAGAGGGGAAGGGGGAGGGAGGGAGGGAGAGTGGGAGGATGGGACAAGATTAGGAAGGAGAAGAGGGGAGGGAGAGGAGGAGGTGAGATGTGTGGTAAGACGGCCATAGCGCAATCATAGGCGGGGGGTGAGGTGCAGCAATGTCACGACGGGTCAGCGGGGCGGGAAAGATGGCAGCAGATGCAAGGCAGTGAAGGGGAAGCAGGAGGCAAGCATACAGCGGCCAGGGCACTCACAGTGGGCACAAAGACGGCTGAGATCTGGTCTGCCACGCGTTGGATGGGCGCCTTGGCCATCTGCGCCGCCTCCACCAGCTTCACGATCTGCGCCAGCGCCGTCTCGCCGCCGACGCGTGTGGCACGCACGTGCACACTGCCGCCCAGGTTGAGCGTGCCACCGATGACAGCGCTGCCCACCTCCTTGAGCACGGGGCGTGCCTCCCCCGTGACCATGCTCTCGTTGGCGTAAGTGTGTCCCCACACCACCACGCCATCCACCGGCATCTTGCCTCCTGGTGCCACACGGATGATGTCCCCACGCTGAATCAGCGCCGCCTCTATCTCCTGCTCCCCCACCACGCGCATCCCCTCCCCCGTCTCACCAATCAACCGCTCTTCCTCCCCCTCCCCATTCCCCTCGCCTCCTCCCGCGGCGCTCCCCTGCTCCGCGCGCTCCGCTCCCCCCTGTGAGCCGGTGTCCACGGAGAGCAGCACGGCGGTGGCGGGGGCGAGGTTGAGCAGCTTGCCGATGGCGTCACTGGTGCGCCCGCGCGCCACGGCCTCCAGGTACTTGCCCAGCACGATGAACGAGATCAGCATCGCGCTCGTCTCAAAGAAATCCACCCCCGCGTATGCCGACGCGGACGCGGATGCAGACGCCTCCCCGCCCCCCTCCATACCCTCCATAATCATGCGCGCCACATGCGCTACCGCACCACCGCCACTAGTGGCGGCGGCGGTGGCGGCGCTGGGAGGCGCCCCGGCGGAGCCGGCGGGGGAGGGGGAGGGGGAGGGGAGGGGCGTGGCGGCGGAGGCGATGAGGGCGAAGAGGGAGTAGAAGAAGGCAGCGTTGGTGCCCATGGCCACCAGCACGTCCATGTTCGCCGCTCGCCGCCTTAGAGCATAGAATGCGCCCGTGTAGAAGCGCCACCCCACCACGAACTGCACTGGTGCTGTGAGCAGCCCGCGCAGCAGCATGCCGATGGGCAGCCTGGGGGGGAACAGGGACAGAGGGAGGGGGAGACGGTTTGAGTGGATGTGTGAACCAAATCTGAGACAGCAAGGCGAGAAAACGAACGGCATGAGAGAGGTGAGATGGAGGGTAAGAGGAGGTGTGGTTCAATAACTATTTCTATTATTATTAAACGGTAACTCACGAGTTGATGACGGGAGTCATGAGCCAGGCGTCGAAGGGCGGGATGTGGTTGAGCACCATGGCGAGCAGGAACACGGGCACCGTGAACACCAGGCTCCACACGAACTGCCGCCACAGCTTCCGCACCTCCCGCTCCCGCTCCTTCGCGCCCGCGCTCCCTCCTACCCCGCCTCCCTCGCTCTCCGCCAGCTCCACCTTCGCCACCCCGCCCACCCCCGCCACTTCCGCCTGCAGCGCCTCGAGAATGTCGCGCGCGCCCGTGCGGTCGGGGTCGAACGTCACTGCGGCCGTCTCGCTCTCCGCGTGCACTGCCGCGGCCGACACTCCCGGCAGCGCGCACAGCACCGCCTCTATGCGCGCGGGCAGCGGAAGCGGTGCCGCGCGCGCGGAACCAGTTGCGCTTCCGCGCGGGGATCCGTTCCCGCCCGCGGGGGATCGCACGGGCAGTGCGGAGGCAGCGGCGGCGGCGAGGCCGTGGAGGCGGTAGCGGAGAGTGTGCGCCTGGGGCGCGTCGGCGGAAGCGGCGGAGTCGTCGATGAGATGCGCGGAGGGGAAGCCCGCGTGGTGCACGGCGGCGAGGAGATCGGCGGGGGAGAGCGCGGTGGAATCGAGGACGACGTGCGCCTCGGCCGTAGAGAGAGAGACGATCGCGGATAACACGCCCGCATGGCCCTGCGCGCACACGGGAACCCGGTGGGGGGAAAGCGGGGGGGACGAGTGCGGGGGGGACGAGTGGTGAGGAAGAGGCGGCAAGGAGGAAAACTCTCTTTCCGAGAGAGCGACTGACGGGGAGCAGTGGCTGAAGGTCAAGCGCGACGCTGAAAACAGGGAAAGCTACTCGTGCTACAGCTGTAACGCTGGTGGAACTGGTTACCGAACTCACCTGTAACATTTCCTCCAGCGAGCCGGCGGAGCTGACGAGCAGCAGGTCGGGGATGCGCAGGCGGCAGGGGCGCGCCCCCCCCACGGGGTAAAGGGCGGCGGCAGCGGAGAGCGGATCGTCCATGGCGGTGACCTCAAACCCCGCATCCTCCACCGCTGCCGCGATGTCGTCCGCCTGTAGTGCGCCCGCGCGGGGGGCAAGGAGGGGGGAAGGAAGGGGGGGAGGAACGGCGGAGGGCGGGGGGAAGAAAGGGGGAAGGAATGTTAAGAAAGGGAGAAGTTAAAGTGAGGAAAGCGAGGCAGAAAGTTAGCCGTCATTGACATTCTAGCGACTCCGAGCAGCAGGGGCGGGGAAGCGCGACTCACGTTAGTCTTCATGTTGTTGAACGTCACTCGCGCGCGCCCGTTAACAACGGACACCACGGCCCGCGACACGCCGTCAACGCGCATCAGCGCCTTCTCGATGGACGCCGCGCACGCCGCGCACGCCATGCCGCCCACCGCCAGCTGCACCTCCGCCGCCATGTTGCCCGCCGCGCCGCCCCCATCCTCTCCCGCGCCGCTCCCTGCGCCTCCCGCTGCGGCGCGGTGCGAAGGAGAAGCCCTAGTAACACTGCTGTCGCTTGCATGCGGGGACGAGGGGCGGTCCGGCAGACGAGAAGCCTTGCGCGGACGGCCCTTGGGCGGAAAGAGCGCCGCCCGGAAGAGGTGCCAGAGGGACTTGCGGCCTGATCGCGACATGACGGCGTCAGTTACTATCGCGTCTGAAGGATGGTGCAGGGCACGGCGAGAGTCGGGTAAGACCATGGCTGGTTCAAACAGGTCGCACTAGGTACGGTCTTATGGCGACTAGGATGCAGGGAGCGCGCGCAGGGAAGGGCGATTGGCCCGGCGTGACGCAGGGGGCGGGGAAGGGGCGCGAGGAGGAGCCGCGGAAGAGCACGACGGGAGATGGCGGGGTGCGGTGCGGAGGTGTCGTTGTGTGTGATGCAATGCGATGTGCGCTTGTGCACATGAGCAAATAGGAGATTGAGGGGGCGCGATTACAAAATGATGGATATGTGTCACGGTGACGGAGATTTATAGACGCATGGCTAGGCAAAGGACAAATCTGGAATGGTCGCGACTCGCGAGACACGTGTTCCTGCAATCAGGATTCAGGAGGCTGCATTCGCGAAACGTCTGTGAGGAAGCTGCGTGGGCGTGTGCTGGTATCTTCAAGGCGGTTTCCCGTTGATACACTCCTTGATTACATCTTCTTATGAATAAATAACTCACCATGAATTGTTGTTGTGTTGAAACCCTCCAGCTTAGTGTCAACCTGGAAAAGAATAGGCTTAGCACAGAATCAAGATTACAAGCCATCAACATTATTGTGAAGCCTTGTTACCCCTTTTCCCAACTGCTTTCCCTCTCCCACCCTTTTGTTGTGCAGATATAGCCTTGGTTGTTCCCTTTCTAGTACCAGCCACCTGAGATATTGCCTGCTTTTCCACTTTCCCTGTTGCAGCTCCTTTGGCAATCGTTGCCTTAGCTGCTCCCTTAGCAGCGACTGCATGCCCTTTACCTGCAGTGGCAGGGGCACCGCCTTTCTTCCCCTGCGCACCTCCGGTCCTGCCTTTCCCACCTGCTGCAGCTGGGACAGCAGGGACTCCCTTGCCCCCTCTCCCTTTCTCCACCACAGGCCCTTTATTCCCTCCCTTGGCAACGACTCCAATACTCGCTCCCTTTCTTCTGTCAGTTGTTGCAACACTTTTCCCTCCCTGAGCACCTCTTCTGCTTGCAACCGCAGCCTTCTTCGCTGCACCAGCAGCAGCAGCAGCAGCAGCAGCAGCAGCAGTTACGCCACCACTAGCAGTCCCAGCAGCAGTACGAGCAGCAGCACTCCCCGGGTCAGGGCGGGCGGGTTTCTCAATGATGGCGTTGAGGTAGAGGTGGAAGCCCTTGCGCTCGCCGGACTCTGGCTTGGGGGAGAAGCCCCACTTGAGGCGGCGGTACCGCAGCAGGTCAATGACGGCCACGTACAGGGGCATCTCGTCCACCGGCGCGTAGAACATCTCAAACCACACTATGCCACCTGCGGGACCGCACCGCACCGCCATGCACACACACGAGACAGCTTCAATATGCTGTTCTCAAATTTGCAGTGTTGTACGAGGGAGAGGAGCTAGCCAAATTTGGAGCCACTGCTGCGGCGGTAAGCAACTGTTCAGTGACTTGAAACACAGTGCATAAATGGCTGGTGTAGATGTAAGGTACGGATGCCAGGGCAAGGGGCATATGGCACAGAGCACAGACCTGGTCGCAGGACGCGGTCCCACTCGAAGACAAGCTCTTCGAAGTCAAGGATGGGCAGGTACTTGACGCTGTTCACACTGTGAATGATGTCCAACGTGTTGTCGTAGAACGGCAACCGCGCCTGCTCCACCCAGGGGGGGGAGGGAGGTGGGAGAAAGGGAAGGAAAACAGGGGGCACACGGGTGCGGCGGAAGGGGTTCAAATAGCGTGGCAGGTTGAGAGGGGCGGTGGGCGGAGCAGTGGGGCAGCGGCGAGTAGCAGAGGAGGTGGTGGGGAGGCAAGGAGCAGGTTGGAAAGGTTGGTTTTCGGGCTGACCTTGTGGGGCACGAAGAGGGGGATGAGACCTCTGAGCGCAATGGTCTCCATGTAGGGCAGCCCGCCATAGTTGCCGTTCACTGTCTCGCTGTTCATGGCCGTGGTCAGCACTGTCACATTGTACCGCGCCATGTGCGCTGCAAAGCTGCCCGTTCCTCCACCCGCATCCAGACCCAGCCTGTAGGTGCGCGGGAGGGGAGGAGGGAGATGGAAACAGGAAGAGATATTGGTACGTACAGCTACGATTGAATGAAAAACTGGCCAAATTGATGGCAGCCAAACGGACTTGCAGACACTACCAGGAACAGGCTACTGGAATCACCCCTCGCCGCAAGTCCTCCCACACGCCTCACCTGAGCGCCCCTCGTTTGAGCTTGATGACGTCAGCCATGGTTTGTGAGCCGCGGTAGGCGCGCTGCCAGCGGTAGCTCTCGAGCGTGAGGTTGAAGCAGTTGCGACAGTCGCCCAGCGCACGCGCGTTGAGGCACGCAAAGGACTTGCAGTGGTGGCTGCCCCACCGCACGTTCTCGTCCTTGAGCGCGCGCTGGTCAAACAGCGATTGTGGGAATGGCAGCGGCTGCCCACCAGGAGACACGCGGTGGGGAAAGGGGAAGCGGAGGGAAGAATGCAAAGGAAAATGTCAGGATAGGCTAAGTGGAGGGATAAGTGGGAGAGTGGAGAGAATGGTAAGAAGGAACCACGGGAGGAAAGCGAAAGGCACACGGGTGCAGCAGTGAAGCAGGCACGTGCAGTTGGTATGGGGGAGTGGACTGCCATGCACAACGACCCCCGAAGAGCAGGGGCAACCAGAGCAGCACACAGTGCCTTCCTATGGTCCTTGTATCGCCTGCACATACACCCAGCAGGGCGTGCGTGAGAGTGCGTGCACGTGCGCGTGCAAGTACCTCGGAGGGGTTGGTGGGAGCACGGGCAAAGCAGTTGCGGATGGGGAGGTGGAAGCAGTCCTTGGCGTAGAGCAGGTCCTGCACAAAGAACCAGTCGTCCGGACACTGCCTGTGCAGCCGGTACTTGTGGTACTTGGCCAGCTCCGCTGGACTCGCCTGACAGTAGTAGCCCTGTGCAGAGTGGGAAGCATGGTTTGGGAAGGGAGGGGCGAGAGGAGGAGGAAAGGTGGGAATAAGAGGGCACGTGTTGCGGCACTGTATGCAATGGTGTGTAGGCATGCAGGTGCACAAGAAATAGCACAGAAAAGGGTGCACAGTATGGGAGGAAGGCACGGGGGTAGTGTGGCTGTGGAGAGCCGTGCAAATGAGGCCGAGAAATCTCAATGGTGAAGTGCGGGAAGGCACAGTACCTTCCAGGAGGTGGGGCGTTGTGGCGGCATGTTGGCCTGCTTGACAGCGTTGCCCGCCTTGTCCTTGAGCGCCAGCACGCACTGCTGCTCCAACATGCTCACAGTACGGTTGTGCGCCTGCCCATCATCACCAGCACATGGGGGGGGGGGGGGATGACACAAGGCAAGAGCGAAGGCAGGTTGTATGTGAGATGGCAGCACATACAAGCGGATTTCAGCGTTATTGGAAGACTTGAAGCCAGCATTAGTGGTGGTGCAAGTCGCCGCAGACCAGGAGAAATGAGGGAGACGGGAAGGGCAGTGAGAGAAACGAGCGGGGCACATACCTTTTCAGTGAGCAGCTTGGGAGCCCAGTCGCCCTGGTCGTAAAGAAAGTCCTTCACTCTCTGCATCGCCTGCGCCTGCTCCTCCAAACTCGCCTGCACACATGGGGGAAGCACAGGGCACAAGGGCGAGGCAGCACACTGCAGAGTACTGAGGGAGGTCACAGAGAGGGGCCACGGAGTCATGGCCTGTGCAGGGAATGAGCCATACGTAAAGCTGATGAAGGGCAACGAGTGGCACGGCACTAAGTGGTGGGTTTGGCTGCAGGCGGCAGGCATGCGCGTCATTGAGGGAGCGAAAGGCTTCAACTTGCTATGTCTGGAATGACGTTGCGTCTGGCATGTCGTGGCATGGCATGGCATGGCATGGCATGGCATGGCATGGTAGCAGCACCTTGACGCTGTCGATCTTGGCCTTGAGGTCATCAATGTCGCTCTGCATCGTCACCAGCTTCGCCTGTAGCACATCCACTGGGGACGCCTTCAGTAATCGCCGCCCTCCCCCTGCCATCCCTGCGCCCTCCCCATCCCCGCGCCCACCATCTGCCCCTTCCTCCATCCAATCCGCGTCTTCCCCTTCCTCTTCCCCAACTATCCGCCCCAACAATCTTGTTCCGCCCAATCCTAACGAAGATTCATCCTCTCCCCTCTCTCTCGCCGTCAGCTCCCCCCCTGCACTCCACGAATCCCTTTCATGCCCATCTGCACCCAGTGCTACCACTGCGCCACTCTCCCTGCTCCCACCCTCCTCCATGTCTCTAATCCTCCAACGGCTTTCCAGTCTCCTCGCGTCCGTCCCTTGTGCCGTTCTCAAGTGACCGTGCTCACCACGTCTGCCCCTGCTCGCTGGCACATCACCATCACGGTCTGCTGACTCATCCTGACCAGGTGCCTCCAAGGAAGGGCCATTGGGTGATTTTAGGGGTTGCGAGGCGGTGAGGAGGAGGGAGAGGTTGGCGATGATGTGTGGAGGAAGGCAAGCGGTAAGGGCGTGCGGCAGAGCGAGCAGGCGACGGCGGGCGCCGTACATCTGTGCCCTGCGCTGTGAATATGCTGGTCCATGGGGGGCATGGGGATGGTGGGAATAAGCGGGAAAGGGAAGGGATGTGCGGGGGACAGGGGGAAAGGGAGAAGAGGAGGAAGCTGTTAAAAGTGGGGAGGAGGAGGGGAAGGAATGCAGGAATTGGAGGAAACGAGGGAGGGACGGATGGGGTATGCTAGTGCTCGATCAACAATATGAAAAAGAGCACCACACAAAAGTGCCAGACGCTGCATTCAAGCAGCATGCGGCAGGGCAAGGGCAGGCATGACTAGGGCTAGTGCAGGTGGCGTACGTCCATAGAGGCCCAGCAGTCTGGTGACCTCCGCCCTGCACTCGTCGCAATTCTCCTCCACCGCCCCCTCCTCACCCGCCGCCTCCTCCCCTCCTCGCTGCTGCTGCAGCTGTTGCTGCTGCTGAAGCGGCACCTGCATCTGCATCTCCTGCTGCGGCAGCACCCGCTGCTGTTGCTCCTGCTGCTGTCTGTCCTGCTCGAAGCCCTGCCCATCGGCGCGCATCTGCCCCTGCGCTTGCCGTCCATCCTGCCACCTCGCATCTTGTGCTCCCCCCATTAGACCTCCCTGCGAGTTCATCCCTCCCTGCTGCTGCGTTGCCATCCGCGCTTTCCAATCTCCACCACTCTGTACCCCTCCGAATCCTCCCTGCATCCCTCCCCCGGCAAATCCGCCTATGCCCATCCCCCCATTGCCCCATCCGCCTCGCTGCTCCTGTAGGCGCATCCGCAAGGCTCCGCCCGATCCCCGCCCCTCCAGCAGACGGGGGTCTCCTTCCGCTCCGCCGCCTTCCGCGCCCTGCAACGACCTGCGGACGGGTAAGCGGATAGAGGGGAGAATGAAGGAACGTGAGCAGCGGATAGATCTGGGGAAGCGGACGAGATATCGGATAGAATGCGGGAGTCACGAGTACGAACGAAGGTAGACCGGAAAACGAGATGGCGGTAAGAAGGGGGAGAGGAGAAGTGGGGAGGGGAACGGAGGTGGGTGGGAAAGGGTGGGGGGACGCGGCGGTGGTGGGGAGAGGGGTGCTTTTCTGTGGGTGGAAGGCCCATGATATATAGCATGCAAGGCGACACATCGAACCACCACGGGGTTCGGGCACAGCCCGTACCGACACGAGGTCAGCAAGACAATGACCGGGAATATTTAACAGCTAGCCCTGAAAAAACGCTTGACTGCATTCGATGCACGTGTGCGGAAAAGGATTCCACGACGACTTTCCCTCTCAATGTCCAGCCATGGGACACCCCCGTGATAGCAGCTCGCCGCGTCGATCCCCAAATTGAATCATATATCCGGGCCTGATGTTTCCGCGTGGACGCGCGGGAGTGCACAACAGCCGCGCGTCTGGGACTTACTTCTCGGCGAGTTTGTCGAGCGTACTAAAGTCGAGGAACAGGCTGCGACTGCTAAACTGCTCCGCGGCCAGCAGCGCGACGAGCCCCAGCATCCCCGCCGCCACGCATCGCCAGCACGTGAACCGCCGCCGGCCTTTACCGCCCAAGCTCTTGGCCTTGGAGAGTACACTCGGCGATCCCGGCACAGAGGATCGCCGCAACGGGGACGAGCTGCGCAGGCTACTGACTGACGTGGACAGCGGCGAGCCGAGTCGCAGCATCTCTGCTGCGGTGGCCTGATAATCCTAATCTGCTAGCTAGTGGGCATGGGAATGTTGCCTGGTCGACAAGGCATCTGCCGATTCTTAAACTATCTGAGGACCTATGATTAAACGCCGAGTGTATAGCAAATTATTGGTGAGGCTAAAAAAAAAAAAAAAGCCACGTGGGAGTGGTCTACAAGTAGCACAACGACGCAGCGCCAACGGCCAACGGCAGATAGCAGGAAGAGCAGGCCAAGCAAACCCTGAGAAAGGTATTACCGAGGCCAGCTACCAACGAACGGTCGCATGTTCTGGTCCAGGTGGTTTTGACGATACTGCTACACAGTTGGCCTTAGGCTTGGTTTGGCCGCGCGAGTGTCGCAAAACGCCCTCCCGCATGAACTGCAATGAGTTTGTAACCAGCAGTCACCTGAAGGAACTAACACAGAGTATACCTTTTACAAATAGCATGTTGCATGTTTTCCCTGATTTTGTACGGTAGTGTGAAGATCAGGTACAGTCCCTCAGCCTCCCGGTGCTGGGACATATGTTTCTTCACTATGCACAACCTATTGTACAAGCTGGAGATTGACACTTGAATTGAAATTTGGAATTGCATGCAATGGACCGGTAGATCTTCTATGAGGTTGGCCCAAGACACACAGCTCTAAGCCTCGGGTTTTATACCATACCGTACTAGTGCTCTGGTGTTGAAAGTGCTGAAAGATGGATCAAATGAGTTGAGCGAGGGGAGGGAGCCAGGGGGGGAACATGGAATTGGACAGCACTATTTGCTTGCTCTTATCCCAGAAGCTAAACAATGCTAATTCGAATTGAGGGACTCCAAACCAAACTGGGTCATTTGATATCAACAGTGGCCATTATTGGAGTATCCTGTTTGCCTCCCCTGTACAGCTTCCTGTTTGCGCCTCAACTCCTCCCTCCGCTGCCTGACCCCTTACTGTAAGTAGATACGTGCATGTTACCCTGCACAAATAAGTTTCCTCCCTTGGCGGCCTGCGCACCATGCCACTGCTTGAATCAACTCAGGGAGGCTGCTAAACGCAGAAACCGATTGCAGCGTCTGTGGCTGCTTGCAAGAAACCGATTGGTCCTGGTTGCAACTTCCATTTGGTGGCACAGGACCCAATTTGGAGCAATGGCCTGCAACTTCCCTTCATTCCACCACCAACCAAGGAGGCTCAACAGCTGCTCAGGCATTCCCAGAATGTGACGGCTGGACATTGCCACCTCTGTTACAGCCGGAACTCTTCCACTTCCGTCCGCAGCAGCAGTGTTTCTGCTGCTCACCTTTCGACATTCAGCGACCGTAGAGCATGATGCCCAGGTACCATGCACCACAAGAGCCAAGCGGAAGGGGGAGCTGCTAAGAAAGCGAACAGAAAGAGGGGAACAAGCAACAAGGAAAGTAAGAGCGACGAGTTTGGTAGAGGGGAAAGAGGCAGCAAGAAGAGGGGAGTTGCCCAGTGGGGATGTGGAGGAGAGAGCGATGCCTGCCTGTGTGCGTTGCACATGGTAGCGCGGTTGGAGACCCATTGTGGTAGTGGCGGTTGGGGAGATGGGTGGAGTGGGTGGGCGGGCGAGGGAAGGTTGGCATTAGAAAAGCAAGGGTTCTTATTCGAGCATAAACAACAAATTGCGGGCGTACACAAGCTTTCGCCGGTCGTCAACTGCCTGGTTGTGGATGGGGCAGGCTGTAGATGTTTGGGGGTCGCAAACGACCGGCCGGTGCGAAGGGTGGTGCAGACAGTAGCGCGACTCGGAGCGAAGGCTAATAGCACTGCCGAAGGTTCCGCGAGATGCACCACGGGAGTGGACAGTTTGACCCCGCACCACATAAGCTGGCGGGTGGGTCTCTGTTATCCATTCCAGCATGCGAAGTCCCTCGGATACGCGATCGCGGCACCTGTGGTGCCTCTCTCATTGTTTGTGGAAGAACACTTAACCCTACGTGTAAGCCCCATGGCAGTGGACAGACGGGTAACTCCGCTCGCAATGAAGGTCGGACAGAGCGTAACTCGACGTGATGTATAAAAATTGCCTCACGACTACTGCCGCACTCCGTGCTACTGCATCATGACGATTCACTGGCAGGTGCCACTGACGTGCAGCGGTAGCGTCTGCCACTTTGCGACAGACATTTGTCTATCCTGCGACAGGTGTGTGGGCCTTCATTATCCATTCCAGCATACGGATACTCGATCGCGGCGCCTATCAAATTTTAGTGCGTCATCACTAATCGCCATATGTGTTTTTCCGCGCAGAGCCAAACGAGAAACATCCCTAGCGAGAGCGCCCACATGCAAGCCGAAAGCAAGGCAGAGGGAATCGCCACGCCGAATGAATGGTTGGACAGAAATGGAAGTTGAAGTGATGCTGGTACCAGCTTGAAATGGCCGACTTTTGTGAACCAAATGGTGGCGAGCTCTTCGCAAAGGATAACCGTTTGCGAAGAAATCGTGCATTCTGTTCTGAAAACTGCACGAACCGTTTCGCAACAGAACCCTCCCCTAGCTGTAACCAGAACGCGAATTGGCCACTGGTCAGATGCTCTTGTATGCTCTTGGCGAATTGGTCAGATCCCCTAACTGCATGTGCGAACCTCGTATTCGGTCGCACCGCGGCAGCGCCGATCGTCAACCACTTCTTGATGCGACGAATCTGCTTCGATTTCCCGCAAGCGACCTGCCTATGCGACGCCCGATGGGTCGCAATAGCGTCGTCGTCGGTCACCGTCTTCCCCGTCATTGTGATTGTGAATCATATGGCCCACCCAAGACATGCCTTGCCACCACCACAGGGATTGCCGCGCTCCCACGAATCTGCATTTTCACTTTCGTCGATCCCCCTTCCCACCTCCGCATCCCCTGTCATCACTGCCGATCATACCATCGCCTTCCTCAATAATTCTAGACCTAAACTGTATGTGTTCCCCCAAAGTACTACTTGAACCTCGCCTGTCAGCGTCTGCTCGTGAACTTTTTCACCCAACTACAGGTTTCGTTTCACCACAAAAAGGAAGTGGTGGACGTAGCGGCTTATGACGTGCTAGGATAGAATAAGACCGCGAAGCGACCTTTGCGGTGATAATAAGGCCCGCTGAACTTGCTCCTGTCGATGAGCACCATTTGCATTTCCCGTGTTTCCGCCACCGGCTCGATCCTAACAATCTTCCCGATTCTTCATACGACCACTTTCCGCCAGATTTTCTTATAATCGTGCTGGTGAACTGCTCAAAATCCTGCCAACCGTCCCGCCTCATGCCTCTCGAGACGACACTCGACGTCGTCCATGCGACGTCGGCGTCGTCGCACGGGGAAGCGCGTGCTTCCTCGCGTCCTGGGCCGAAGGCCCCACGGGGACGATGGCGGATTGCCGTTGGTCTTTGGCGCGTCATTGCCGCGGTGCCTCACGCGGTCTTGGCGGTGCTTCAGCGGGTGCGCGGGGGAATGGCGAGCGGGAAGGCTCGGCGCGCATTGACGAGGCGTGTGATGCGGCAGATGGTGGTGGTGCACGAGGAGGAGACGGAGGTGGTGCTGGAAGCATTCTGCTCCTTCTTCTTCGTACGCCCGCCTCCCTCCCATTCCTCCTCGCGCTGCGTGCACCGCCCCTACTCGCGCCCCGTTGACGGCGCCGGGTTCCTCGTTTCTGATCGCCGCGTGTGCTACTACCATTCAGTCTTTTAATTCTTCAATCCTTCCTCTCTACGCCGCAATTGCTCCCCTGGGTCCCATCCCACCCTATCCCATCCCATCCCGTCTCCCATCCCATCCCATCCCGTGCCATTTCCCCCACGCGCAGCTGCTAGCGGCATACTTCGTGTGCCAGCCGCTGCGCGACGAGGCGGCCATGAGTCTGGGCACGGGCGCGCTGCCAGGGCTCTTCCTCGCCTCGCTCGCCTCCACCGTCGCCGCTGCTCCGCTGTCGTCCGCACTACTCTCGCGCACGGACATCAGCAAGGGGCAGGTGCGCACAGCGTGCAGTTGAGAGCACCGGAGCAGAAGAGCATCTCAGAATGTGAACGTACACGTCTCGCCTTCCTGCTCGCGTCCTTCCTCCCTGTTCACACATGCATGCACATGCAGCGCATGTCCCGTCCCTTCAGAGCCACCCTCTGCTCAACACCAGCTCTAGTCCCCTGCACTTCCCAAACCCAACCCAAACCCCGCCCCCTCTTTTCCCCTACCTCCCCCCGTGTGTTGGCAGGCCCTGCTGCTGCTGTACCGTTTCTTCTCGCTCTGCCTCCTCGGCTTCTTCTTCCTCTACCTCCTCGTGCCACCACCTGCCACTCTCCCTGCTCTGCCCACGGTAATTTCTTCCCATGCCCACTCCATCCGTACACGCCCATGGACCCAGGCACACACCCTAGCCAAGCACAAGCATGCACGCTCTCCCACCGCTGCACACGGCACCCCCGTTCCATGCCAGCATATCCTCCCACCGCGCCCTCCGTTCCCCAACCACCGCGCATCTCACCCGCCCCCCTGTGCCCATGGCCACAGCTACCCGACGAGCTGGTGGGGGAGGGAGGGCACACAGTGCAGGCGGCAGTGTACCCCGATGCTGCTGGCCAGCTCGCTGTCTTCGCTGACGTGTCTCTGCCCTTCCTCGCTGTCCGAGCCGGCCTCTTCCTCTTCGTGAGCCTCATCCCCCACTCGTGCTCTCGCTGCTCGCCCCCTTGCTTACGCATGCCACGCCTCTCGCTATCGCCTCGCCCACTTCCTCACCACTGCCAGTCGTTTTCTCACTGTGTCTGTGCACGCTTTCTCCCTATCAACCTGCACCTCCATGCATCACCCCCATGCATCACCCCCACGCATCACCCCCATGCATCACCCCCATGCATCACCCCCATGCATCACCCCCATGCATCACCCCATGCATCACCCCCATGCATCACCCCCACGCATCACCCCCATGCATCACCCCCATGCATCATCCCCATGCATCACCCCCATGCATCACCCCCATGCATCACCCCCATGCATCACCCCCATGCATCACCCCCACGCATCACCCCCATGCATCAACCCCATGCATCATCCCCATGCATCACCCCCATGCATCACCCCCATGCATCACCCCCATGCATCACCCCCATGCATCACCCCCATGCATCACCCCCATGCATCACCCCCATGCATCACCCCGATGCATCACCCCCATGCATCACCCCATGCTTCACCCCCATGCTTCACCCCCATGCATCACCCCCACGCATCACCCCCATGCATCACCCCCATGCATCACCCCATCCCATGCATCACCCCCATGCATCACCCCCATCCCATGCATCACCCCCATCCCATGCATCACCCCCATCCCATGCATCACCCCATCCCATGCATCACCCCCATCCCATGCATCACCCCCATCCCATGCATCACCCCCATCCCATGCATCACCCCCATCCCATGCATCACCCCCATCCCATGCATCACCCCCATCCCATGCATCACCCCCATCCCATGCATCACCCCCATCCCATGCATCACCCCCATCCCATGCATCACCCCCATCCCATGCATCACCCCCATCCCATGCATCACCCCCATCCCATGCATCACCCCCATCCCATGCATCACCCCCATCCCATGCATCACCCCCATCCCATGCATCACCCCCATCCCATGCATCACCCCCATCCCATGCATCACCCCCATCCCATGCATCACCCCCATCCCATGCATCACCCCCATCCCATGCATCACCCCCATCCCATGCATCACCCCCATCCCATGCATCACCCCCATCCCATGCATCACCCCCATCCCATGCATCACCCCCATCCCATGCATCACCCCCATCCCATGCATCACCCCCATCCCATGCATCACCCCCATCCCATGCATCACCCCCATCCCATGCATCACCCCCATCCCATGCATCACCCCCATCCCATGCATCACCCCCATCCCATGCATCACCCCCATCCCATGCATCACCCCCATCCCATGCATCACCCCCATCCCATGCATCACCCCCATCCCATGCATCACCCCCATCCCATGCATCACCCCCATCCCATGCATCACCCCCATCCCATGCATCACCCCCATCCCATGCATCACCCCCATCCCATGCATCACCCCCATCCCATGCATCACCCCCATCCCATGCATCACCCCCATCCCATGCATCACCCCCATCCCATGCATCACCCCCATCCCATGCATCACCCCCATCCCATGCATCACCCCCATCCCATGCATCACCCCCATCCCATGCATCACCCCCATCCCATGCATCACCCCCATCCCATGCATCACCCCCATCCCATGCATCACCCCCATCCCATGCATCACCCCCATCCCATGCATCACCCCCATCCCATGCATCACCCCCATCCCATGCATCACCCCCATCCCATGCATCACCCCCATCCCATGCATCACCCCCATCCCATGCATCACCCCCATCCCATGCATCACCCCCATCCCATGCATCACCCCCATCCCATGCATCACCCCCATCCCATGCATCACCCCCATCCCATGCATCACCCCCATCCCATGCATCACCCCCATCCCATGCATCACCCCCATCCCATGCATCACCCCCATCCCATGCATCACCCCCATCCCATGCATCACCCCCATCCCATGCATCACCCCCATCCCATGCATCACCCCCATCCCATGCATCACCCCCATCCCATGCATCACCCCCATCCCATGCATCACCCCCATCCCATGCATCACCCCCATCCCATGCATCACCCCCATCCCATGCATCACCCCCATCCCATGCATCACCCCCATCCCATGCATCACCCCCATCCCATGCATCACCCCCATCCCATGCATCACCCCCATCCCATGCATCACCCCCATCCCATGCATCACCCCCATCCCATGCATCACCCCCATCCCATGCATCACCCCCATCCCATGCATCACCCCCATCCCATGCATCACCCCCATCCCATGCATCACCCCCATCCCATGCATCACCCCCATCCCATGCATCACCCCCATCCCATGCATCACCCCCATCCCATGCATCACCCCCATCCCATGCATCACCCCCATCCCATGCATCACCCCCATCCCATGCATCACCCCCATCCCATGCATCACCCCCATCCCATGCATCACCCCCATCCCATGCATCACCCCCATCCCATGCATCACCCCCATCCCATGCATCACCCCCATCCCATGCATCACCCCCATCCCATGCATCACCCCCATCCCATGCATCACCCCCATCCCATGCATCACCCCCATCCCATGCATCACCCCCATCCCATGCATCACCCCCATCCCATGCATCACCCCCATCCCATGCATCACCCCCATCCCATGCATCACCCCCATCCCATGCATCACCCCCATCCCATGCATCACCCCCATCCCATGCATCACCCCCATCCCATGCATCACCCCCATCCCATGCATCACCCCCATCCCATGCATCACCCCCATCCCATGCATCACCCCCATCCCATGCATCACCCCCATCCCATGCATCACCCCCATCCCATGCATCACCCCCATCCCATGCATCACCCCCATCCCATGCATCACCCCCATCCCATGCATCACCCCCATCCCATGCATCACCCCCATCCCATGCATCACCCCCATCCCATGCATCACCCCCATCCCATGCATCACCCCCATCCCATGCATCACCCCCATCCCATGCATCACCCCCATCCCATGCATCACCCCCATCCCATGCATCACCCCCCATCCCATGCATCACCCCCATCCCATGCATCACCCCCATCCCATGCATCACCCCCATCCCATGCATCACCCCCATCCCATGCATCACCCCCATCCCCATGCATCACCCCCATCCCATGCATCACCCCCATCCCATGCATCACCCCCATCCCATGCATCACCCCCATCCCATGCATCACCCCCATCCCATGCATCACCCCCATCCCATGCATCACCCCCATCCCATGCATCACCCCCATCCCATGCATCACCCCCATCCCATGCATCACCCCCATCCCATGCATCACCCCCATCCCATGCATCACCCCCATCCCATGCATCACCCCCATCCCATGCATCACCCCCCATCCCATGCATCACCCCCATCCCATGCATCACCCCCATCCCATGCATCACCCCCATCCCATGCATCACCCCCATCCCATGCATCACCCCCATCCCATGCATCACCCCCATCCCATGCATCACCCCCATCCCATGCATCACCCCCATCCCATGCATCACCCCCATCCCATGCATCACCCCCATCCCATGCATCACCCCCATCCCATGCATCACCCCCATCCCATGCATCACCCCCATCCCATGCATCACCCCCATCCCATGCATCACCCCCATCCCATGCATCACCCCATCCCATGCATCACCCCCATCCCATGCATCACCCCCATCCCATGCATCACCCCCATCCCATGCATCACCCCCATCCCATGCATCACCCCCATCCCATGCATCACCCCCATCCCATGCATCACCCCATCCCATGCATCACCCCCATCCCATGCATCACCCCCATCCCATGCATCACCCCCATCCCATGCATCACCCCCATCCCATGCATCACCCCCCATCCCATGCATCACCCCCATCCCATGCATCACCCCCATCCCATGCATCACCCCATCCCATGCATCACCCCCATCCCATGCATCACCCCCATCCCATGCATCACCCCCATCCCATGCATCACCCCCATCCCATGCATCACCCCCATCCCATGCATCACCCCCATCCCATGCATCACCCCCATCCCATGCATCACCCCCATCCCATGCATCACCCCCATCCCATGCATCACCCCCATCCCATGCATCACCCCCATCCCATGCATCACCCCCATCCCATGCATCACCCCCATCCCATGCATCACCCCCATCCCATGCATCACCCCCATCCCATGCATCACCCCCATCCCATGCATCACCCCCATCCCATGCATCACCCCCATCCCATGCATCACCCCCATCCCATGCATCACCCCCATCCCATGCATCACCCCCATCCCATGCATCACCCCCATCCCATGCATCACCCCCATCCCATGCATCACCCCCATCCCATGCATCACCCCCATCCCATGCATCACCCCCATCCATGCATCACCCCCATCCCATGCATCACCCCCATCCCATGCATCACCCCCTCCATGCATCACCCCCCATCCATGCATCACCCCCCATCCCATGCATCACCCCCATCCCATGCATCACCCCCATCCATGCATCACCCCCATCCCATGCATCACCCCCATCCCATGCATCACCCCCATCCCATGCATCACCCCCATCCCATGCATCACGCCCCATCCCATGCATCACCCCCATCCCATGCATCACCCCCATCCCATGCATCACCCCCATCCCATGCATCACCCATCCCATGCATCACCCCCATCCCATGCATCACCCCCATCCCATGCATCACCCCCCATCCCATGCATCACCCCCATCCCATGCATCACCCCCCATCCCATGCATTCACCCCCATCCCATGCATCACCCCCATCCCATGCATCACCCCCATCCCATGCATCACCCCATCCCATGCATCACCCCCATCGCATCACCCCCATCCCATGCATCACCCCCATCCCATGCATCACCCCCATCCCATGCATCACCCCCATCCCATGCATCACCCCCATCCCATGCATCACCCCCATCCCATGCATCACCCCCATCCCATGCATCACCCCCATCCCATGCATCACCCCCATCCCATGCATCACCCCCATCCCATGCATCACCCCCATCCCATGCATCACCCCCATCCCATGCATCACCCCCATCCCATGCATCACCCCCATCCCATGCATCACCCCCATCCCATGCATCACCCCCATCCCATGCATCACCCCCATCCCATGCATCACCCCCATCCCATGCATCACCCCATCCCATGCATCACCCCCATCCCATGCATCACCCCCATCCCATGCATCACCCCCATCCCATGCATCACCCCCATCCCATGCATCACCCCCATCCCATGCATCACCCCCATCCCATGCATCACCCCCATCCCATGCATCACCCCCATCCCATGCATCACCCCCATCCCATGCATCACCCCCATCCCATGCATCACCCCCATCCCATGCATCACCCCCATCCCATGCATCACCCCCATCCCATGCATCACCCCCATCCCATGCATCACCCCCATCCCATGCATCACCCCCATCCCATGCATCACCCCCATCCCATGCATCACCCCCATCCCATGCATCACCCCCATCCCATGCATCACCCCCATCCCATGCATCACCCCCATCCCATGCATCACCCCCATCCCATGCATCACCCCCATCCCATGCATCACCCCCATCCCATGCATCACCCCCATCCCATGCATCACCCCCATCCCATGCATCACCCCCATCCCATGCATCACCCCCATCCCATGCATCACCTCCATCAACGGAAGGCAGACTGCGTCCTCGTCTCTCCCCTTTCCTTCCTCATCCCGCTCACAGGTGGCGCTGCTGAATCTGTTCGCCATAGCTGCCATGTGGGCTCGCCTTGCCGATGTCATGACCAGTGAGGTGCGCGCTGCTCACACCCTTGCACGCCCTCACACGTCCTTGAACGCCTTCACATGCCCTCACACGCGTTGTTCACATGCCATCATCTCGCTCCAGCTGCGCCTATCCCACATGTGCCGTCTGTCCCGACGCCCCTCCCCCTTATCCATCTGGCCACCGTGCCAGTCAAGTCCATCATCACCCCCCGGCTTACCACCTTTTGGGCGCTTCTTTCCTCCTGCTCCAACCACTGCTCGCGGTGTGTGCAGGCGGGGGCGCGTTTGTTCGGGTTCATAGGCGCGGGTGCCACGTTCGGCCAGCTCGCAGGCTCGCTGCTCGCCTCCTCGCTCGCTGCTCTGGGGCCCTGTGAGTGAGGGGCGGTGGTGCGGTGGAAAGTGCGTGAGGTGGGTGGGTAGGGTCGTGGATGCATGGGAGGGCGTGGCAGAGAGGAGTGCTTGTTATAGGCACCATGGGAGCAGCACTGCATCTCATGCATTTCCTGCACCAACCGCACCAACCGCACCACCCGCATCAACTCACACAACACACAAGACACAGCATCACCATTCACCTTCTCTCCCCACCCCACCCTGCCCACCATGCCGTGCAGACCTGCTCATCCTGTCAGCCGTGCTCATGGAGGTGGCAGCGCGCTGCTCCACACTCATAGACGACGGCTCCACGCTGCCCCACGGCATGCACTCACACCCGACCGACTCTCCTGCGTGTACGCATGGGGACATGCCGGAGGAGGGGCACGGGCACGGATGGTGCTCCCATGCGCGCCCACGCAAGGGCAAGGGCGTGCCCTTGCTGAACCACACTGCCGTCGCCGTTGCTGCTCCTTCACCTCTCCGCCCGTCCGCCACCGCCCCCCTGTTCCTATCCTCCTCCTCTTCCTCCGGGGCCCACTCTGCTTCTGTCTGCTCCTACTGCTCGCACCAACCTCTGTACCCCCCCACAGCCATCGCTGCTGCGCCCTCCCCCTCTCCTCCCCTCCTTACTCCCGCAGCAGACACACCTTCCCAACCGCTCCTCACCCCTCCAGTCCCTACAAACGCTGATTTCTTCCCCTCCCCCTTCCTCCCCCTCCCCCCTCCGGCCCAGCCCTCTCCGGTTCCCCCTTCCGTGCCCTGTCTGCTGCATGCGCGCATGGGAGAGAATGAAGGGACAGAGAAGGGCGGAGGGGGCGGACTAGGGGCATGTCGGTTGCATGAGAGGGGGATGGTGGGTGGAGGAGAGGAGGGGACGAAAGGTGGGGAAGCAATGTGTATTCGCCTTGGCTGTGTCTCTCAGGATCAAGAGGCACCGTTTGAGTTCACGCAAATGCTCCCTCACGCAGCCGGAGAGGAAAAGGCTGTAGAATTGGGGGGGCTGAGGGTGAAGGGAGGAGGTGGGGGAGAGGGAAGGGAAGAAGAAGTGGCGTTGCAAGGCTCCATACGGCGCCCAGAGGAGCAGTTGAAAGCGGGTGATGGATGGAGACGGGGAGGAGGGGTTGGGGAGGGAGGGAGTGGGGGGAGAGACGATAGGGGGAGCCAGGAGGACGATTGTGCAGGGGAGAGAAGGGCGGGTGCAGTGCTGCGGTCTGCTGTGTCCTGGCCCCAGAGCCTGGCAGAAGCTGCTGCCGCCGAGGGGCGAGGGGAGGAGGGAGCGTGTGCACGGAATGGCGGGAAGGGGCAGAGGCGAGGAGGACGAGGAGTGGGGAATACAGTGGGCAGAGAGTTTGAGTCGGAAAGAGCTGCGGATAGCGTTGCAAGGTCTTCTGGGCTGGCTGAAGACAGAGGCAGGGATGCAGCAGTGACGATTGCAAGAGGAAATGATAGAGGTGCAGTGACAGGGGGAGCAGCAGGGGCAATGAAAATTGAGAGAGGGGAACTGGTTTGGAGGAGGCGGGGTGAACGATTGGGTGGGCTGGGTACAGGGGAGGAGGATGGGGTGGGGGAAATGCTTGGTAGAGGGGAGAGTGGCAGTGGTCTGTCCAATGTTGCTGTTTTTCGAAGCACAAGTGGTGGTGCGGCTGTGCCCATTACATTGGATGCAGGAGTATCTATTGGGCTTGCAGTGCAACAGAAGCACCTGAAAGGCCTCCTGAAAGGGCACCTGGGAGGAGACACGGGGGTGCAGGCAGGAGGGCAAGCAGCACGAGAAGGGTACGGACTACTCATGCACTCTATGTCCACGCAGCAAGAGCATGTGGACCGTGGTCAAGGCAGTGGCAAACGCTCCTCTCTGGCAGAGGGAGCAGTGGGAGCAGCAGCAACAGCAGCAGCAGCAGCAGCAGCAGCAGCAGAGGCAGAAGCAGCCTTGGATATGGGCAATTCCCCTAGCAAGCTGAAGCCGAGACCGCTGTGGCAGTGGCAGTGGGTGCGCTTGCAGGCTCTGTGGCAAGGGACAGGGAAACAGGAAAGAGCAGAGCAGGGTGGGCGAGGGGCATGTGGAGGAGCAGCAGATCGGGACTTGCGGCTGGCAGGCAATGAGGGCCGTGGAGGTGGCGAGGAGAGTCGGCCATTGCGGGCGTGCCACTCACTGCCGTGCAGAACAGCAGGTGGGGCAGAGGTGCAGAGAGGCGCAGGGGGGTGTGTGCAGGGAGGAGGGGGAAAGGGAATGGGGGATGCAGCTGTGTGCCACAGGTGCATGGGTGCTGTGAGAGGGCAGATGGGGGAGGCGAGAGGCGCAGGGGAAGCAGTGTTGCAGGAGGAAGGGAGAGGAGAAGCGTGTGAGGCGATGGCACAAGGGTGGGCGGTACTTGCCGAGGGGCCAGGCAAGAATGGCTTATCCAGTGATGGCTTGTCGGGCCTCCTGTGTGCACACTGTCATTCCCAAGAACCCCCAGTAGCACCAGTACCAGCAGCGGCAGCAGCACTAGCACAGCGACATGTTGATTGGTGCGGGGCGGATAGCAATGGGCAGAGCAGTGCAGGGAATGGTGGCGATATGGCTGAGCGGTGGTACCGTGTGGGAGGAGAGCGCGGGCCAGGGGCAGCAATGCCTGCAAGCCATGGTGGCCTTGGATGCAGGGGCAGCAGCGCGGGCAGGGCGAGCAGCAGGGGCACACGGCAGAGGGGGGGGTTGAGGGAGGTGGTGGCAGGAGTGAGGCTGGTGCTGTCATCATCGTACCTGCTGCATGTGTGCGCCTTCCTCATGCTCACGGCTGTCGTCTCCTCCTTCTTCTACTTCGAGGTATATCGCCTCACTGCTGTATGGCACGCTTCAGTTACCAATGCTGCCAGTCACCAATGCTCCCCTCCCAGTCACCAGGCTGCCATGTTCCTTGCGTTGCGTTACACCCTCGTGTCGTCTCTCCCGTCGTCTGCTCCCGCTAACTCCTTGTGCCACTTGTCCCCATGGCATGGCATGGCATGGCGTGGAACAGAGGTCGTCAGTGGTGGCGACATCGGTGGTGGATCCAGTGCAGCGGCGCAAGGCCATAGCCAACATCAACTCGCTCTCTGCTGTCGCCACAGTCGTCTTCCAGCTCACTCTCACGGTATCCCTACATGCATGCCCCTTATATCCTTCAAATGCATCCTCCTTGTCCATGCCTTACCCTCACCTCGTCTTGTCTAACTGACCCTGGCGATTAGAATGGCCCCATCATGTCACACCATATGTACCTCTCCAAATAACCCCATGATTTGAGCCTAATGGTCTAGACATGTCGTATGTTTCAGAGAATTCGTTTCTCCTTACTCCCTGTTGCGTGAACCCCTTCAGGGTCGCCTGCTGACAACGTTTGGGGTGGCAGCAGCGCTGGCAGCATCGCCAGTGGCAGCACTGATAGGCATGGCGGCCATTGCATGGCATCCCACACCCCTTGTAGTCGCTGGCTCTGAAGCCCTGCGCAAGGTAACGTGCCTGCATTGGCGGCACTTGGAAGTTCACAGTTATTCCCCTTCTCACCTCCCTTCGTCAACCCCCACTCTCTCTCCCTCTCCTTCTCCCCATCTTTCACTCGTACTATCCTAATGTTCCTCCCCGGTCTCACTCTTAAGACTTTGCCTTACCCACCACCTCCGTATCTGGGACCCTGGTTGCTCGTGCAGGTGGTGACATATGTGTTGACACGGCCCAGTCGGGAGATTCTGTTCACCGTGGTGACACGCGAGGAGAAGTACAAGGCCAAGGTGCGCCATGCACACGCATTCACAGCATGTTCACCCCACCACACACACACACCCATGCGCACAAACATCCGCATGCACACACGCATGCTCACCACCCTGCGCACACATGTTGATCTCAAGCACATGCTGATGTCAAGCACATGCTGGACTAATGCATCCACCCAACCCTGCCCTCTTGTCCATCCGCTCTTCCCCTCGGCCTTTCTCACTGCACATATATCCTTTCCCCCCACCGCTGTGCCCCCCTCGGCCTTTCCCACCGCACATATATCCTTTCCCCCCACCGCCGTGCCCCATCGTCCCATGGTCCAATCACCGCAGGTCACAATAGACACGGTGGTGCAGCGCCTGGGCGATGCAGCAGCAGCGGGCTTCTTTCGCCTGCTGGGAGGGGTGTTCCTCCTGGGGCCCTCTGGCGTTGCCACCTACACTGTGCCGGTAACTGCCCCTCGCCACCTCACTCACTCTCCCCTCCCTCCTGCTCCCCCTCTCCCTCTCGCCCATCCCACCTCCATACCCGGAGCCTGACTTTCGAACCACTCGCACATCAGGTTCTCTCGCACTCTGTCTGCCATTCTTCCTCGTCTCTTCCCTTCGCTACACACCCTCACCCTGCCTTCACGTGCTCCACAATCCCTCCCCGTCTCTCTGTGTGTGGTGTGCAGCTGTGTGTGCTGTGGTGTGGGCTTGCAGTCACCCTAGGCCTGCGGCAGCAAGCCATGGCGCGCATGCAGCAAAGAGGGGGCCCAGCAGCTCCCAAGCATGCACAAGGCCTCTGATTCGGAAGCTCAGGCAGGATAAGTGAAGTTGAGATAAGAAAGCATGCTAGCAGAATGTACATGGGTGTTGTCGTCTTGGCTCAGCAGGCCTGGCTGAAATGTATATTCAGGTGTGTGTTTGCTTTGGTATATGGCATCCTGTCTTGCTCTCCACTGTCAAGTGCAGTAACCTTATCCAGCTGAATGCAGCAACACGAGCATACCCTGTTCAAGTGTTCACTCTGCAATAAGGCTTGAAGGCGCTAACAATTATCTTAAGTGAATAGACAAATCGATGGTTATCAGCAATCTAACTAATGCTTTGTTCACTAATGATACACTACTTCATTACACAAAAATTCCACTAACTACTGAAGGCCAACTATTGTGTGTCAACACAACAAACCTCTAAACACCACTTCACCAACGCACCACCTGAAACACACATGCCCTGCATGCTCATCAACCCACAACATGGCACCCCCTCCTGCCGCAACCACATCACTGCTCCTCCTCTTAATACCGGTCTCCAAAGTAGCAGGCAACGTCTGTCCTCCCCGACAGCCCATCCCTGGCCATCTCCACGCGCATGAGCCCAAACTGTGCCCCCACACCGCACGACCACCCGCCGCCGGGCTTGACAAAGAGCGCAGAGGGGTTGCCGGGGACAGCGGCGGAGGAGGCGAGGTCGGAGGCCCAGTCGAGGAAGGAGTAGAGGTGCAGCGCTCGCAGGGGCACACGTACCTCCGTGCTCAGCTGCAGATGCAAGTGGCAAGGGGGACGCAGAGTGGGCGGAAGGGAGGTGGGGGAGAGGAGGGGGGGGAGCAAAGCAACGGGGGGGTGTGGGCCAAAGCGGTGAGGGAGGCGGGTGCATGGAGGTGCACAGGTCTCCTAGGTTATGTTGATGATTGGATTGGGAATTTTGTGGTGAGAAAGAGGAGGGGCGGGGTGGGAACAGGCAGGGGAAAGCAGAGGAAGCAGGGCAGGGTGAAGGCAGCATGGAACAGCCACTGTGCAGGTCGGCCATGGCACCTGCATCCATGCCGCAGCCAACACGCACCTCAAGGAATCGCCTGCACGTGGCGAGCTCTCCATGCTCAAAGCCCCGCACTGAGTGCGCTCCCCCCAGCTGAAACGCGTCCACCGCCGCCAGGTCGCCCACACACGCACCATGCCGCGCGTGCAGCACCAGCGTGCACGGCGCTGAGCGTGCAGGCGGGGGTGGGCGGCGCCGCAGACGCAGTTCCCGCGCGGGCGAGGGGAAGAGAGCGTAGTAGACGGTTTCGAGGGGGAGGAAGCGTGTGCAGGAGATGGTGTAGCGGTTGAAGAAGGGGAGGGAGGTGAAGGGCAGCAGTGCCTGCTCCACGTGGAAGATATCCCGCGCGCCCACTTGCGTGCCGTGCACGCGCCGGGTGGCGTCTCTTGTCACGACATGCTGTAGTGTGAGTTGGTGGTCGACACCATGTCCACTCACACTCGTCTCCACACTGCCTAACCCCCCTTTCCGCATGCCACCGCTGCTGTTATTGCTCCCAGTCCCCTGGTTATTAACACCACCGTCAGAAGTTGCTGCAGCAGGGAGAGATGAGGCAGCAGAGGAGGTGGTAAGTGGAGCCATTCCCGCAGCAGCAGCAGCGACGGCAGCAGCAGCAGTGGTGGCGGGCGGGGCAGCGAGGGAGTGGCGGAAGGGTGAGACGCGCGGCACAATGGCGGCGTTCTCATCGCGCACACACACCTCCTGGAACACCAGCGCCGTGCTGCTGCTGCTCTGCCTTGTCACCTCCTGTTATGCACCAGAGATGGCAAAGTGGGGGGGAGGTGGTGTGCGGTTGGGGGGGTTGAGGGGAAAGTGTTGGAAGGAAGGAGGAGCCAAGAAAATGAGAACAAATGAAGTCATGCCTCATGACACCAGATAACACAGCACCCATGCATAAAGCGGTGCATCTCCCTCCCACCCCCTCAAATGCCCTCCCGTTTTGGCGGCCTCACAGGCGCACCTCGGTGAGAGAGACCTTCCCCCCTGTTCGGTCCACCCAGAGCGGCCCCACGTCGAGGGCGAGGGCGAGTGGTGCGGTGGGGCCCTGGAAGGCCAGCGCGGACGACAGGCGCCGCGAGTTGAACAGCGCTGCCCTCAGCGTGCGCGGATTGCGCGGAGGGGGGTTGTGTGTGGTGGCGGTGGTGGTGCGGGAGGGAGAGGTGGAGGATGGGGAGGAGAGCGCGTGGTGTGGCGGGGGGAGGACGCCGTGGAGGAAGGGATGGATGTACTCTAGCTTGAGCGAGAGGTCGTCCTGGGAAGGGTGCGCGGGGGTGAGTAAGAGGCGGGAGGGGTGGAAGGAGGGATGGAGGATTTAGGTGTCAGGGTGTCAGAGAGAAAAAAGGAAAGGTCATCGGGTTTAGGGAGGAGGGGAGAAGGAGATGGGGGGGAAGAGGAGGGCGATATGAGAGAGTGAAGTGTGGGAGAGAGAGAGAGTGCAGTGCACCTGGGGGTACATGATGTTGTGAGTGGAGACGTCCAGGTACAGCGAGCGGTTCATGCCTCCCAACCCATGCTGCTCCACGTGCACTCGACACCCAGGAAAGATGGAATCCTGTGCACATGGCGGTCAGACATGGCGCATGGCGCCAGCCAGGAGATGTTAGAGCTATGGGGCATATGGCATGTTGCTTATGGCATGTGGCATGCCGCATGTTGTGTGTGGCATGCAATGTGGTGCGTGTCCTGTATGAAAAGGGAACTCATATTGGCAGGGCCAAGTGCCGCAAGAAAGTCGATTTTTCTATGGCATGGCATGGCACGGCACACCACACATCCCACCGAGGCATATCAGCATTAGGGCAGCAGCAGGCAGTACCAGGCGTGGGAACCACCCGTTGGGCGGCACGGCGAAGTGCCAGTCAGCGTCAGCGGTGGCGGCGGCCATGAGTCGCTCGCGAACCTCCACATCCACCACCACTCCCCCGTGCTGCCCTCTCGTTTCGTCCGGGCGCAGATGCACCTGCACCGACTCAAACAGCGACAGCCGGTACAGCGCCCGCACCACCTCGCGCCCCAGCCGTGCGTTGTACACCACCCCTGGCCGCAGCTGAAGAGGGGAGGAGAAGAGGAGAGAAGGGAGGAAAGACTTGCTCGTGGTCTGGTTGTTATGGGAAAGAGAGCCTGGGCTGTGAGTGGAGCCGAGTTCACTTGTTACATGTCTTGCGAGGACCTGCTCTGTTCTGATTTGATGCACACAGTGGGAATAAGCGAGGGGGGGCAATGGGTGCGTGTGGGGTCCACAGCATGGCACATACGCGCGCGCACTTACCTACCTCCGTGGGCAGCACGTGGTGCAGCAGTGCCAGTGACGTGCGGCCCTTGACAGTGTTGCCTGCCGTGTCCACGAACCGCACCTGCACGCGCGTCACATCCCCCTCCACCACATGGCACACCACCTCGCCCCCGCCCCCCTTCCCCCCTTCCACCCCCGCTCCCCCTTTCCCTGGCGGCATGAAGCTTCGCACGCGGGCCAGGACATATCCCTTCTTTGCATACCACTCCTCTATCCTCGCTGCTAGCTGCTGCAGTAGCGGCTGGGAGAGCGAGGGGCCCTGGCGGGACAGCCATCTCGACAGCTCCCACTCCTCGCTCTCAGGTAACAGGCACTTTTTCGCTGCCGCTGCTGACCGTCCTCCTCCTGCCTCTCCCCCACCCACCCCCTCCTGTGCAGACACGCCCACGTTGACGCATTTCGCAATAGTAGCTGGGGGGTAGTGCATGTCTTTAACAGTGAGCTGCAGGTAGGTCCACCCGGAGCGCTGCGGGCGACAGGAGACTTCGGCATGGGAGAACCATCCGAGGCTGAGCAGGTGCTGCACCGCGTCTTCCACGTCCCTTCGCACGAACACGTCGCCTGGCTGCACTGCAAACGCGTCGTACACGTCAGCTGAGGGCGGCAGCGGGTGGCCGGATTCGTCCTGTACGGTGAGCTCGAGGCAGCGGTAGGTGCGCGAGGTGCTGAGGCGCGCGAGCGGGATGAGGGACGCGGAGGCGGACGCGAAAGGGGAGAGGAGCGCGAGGAGGGGGACTAATAGGAGGGGGAGCAGGAGTGAGGCGCGATGGCGGTGGCGGGAGAACGGGGAGGAGGGGAGAGTGTGCAGTCGGAGTAATTGTGATGCATGTGCGATGAGGGTAAATATGCAGCTTGGAAAGCGTTCAATGAGTGCGGCTAATGAGGTGTGTAGGGTCGACAGCCCACATGACAGCATTGCTGATGCGTCCTCGAGTATAGCAGTCAGCGACAGAAGAATACGCCGCAACAAATTAGTCCTTTCCTCCCCTTCGTCTTTTCCCTCATCTGACCCCTCTCCTCCTCCCCCACTTCCTCCTCCGCTCCCCCCGCCATTCCCTTCTCCGCTTCCCCCAACCCCTCCTCTTCCTCCCGCTGCCTCTGTGAGCACGCTCCGCAAATTCCGCCTTATCCTTCCGCCTTCCGCTTTTCTCTGAACGTTTCTCGCCAGCCAAGCTCCACCCAGAGGGCTAAGAGAGGCGGACAAGGCATGCGCATGAGTGCGACTGCGCAGCGCAATTGAAGAGCGTGTCAGAGTCACCGCGCTCGGAAATTGGCGGGATACGCGTCCCGGCGATAGAGCATGCAACCATGCCCTCGCTGATGCGCCATGGATGCTTTCGAGCGCGACGGCCATGACCGCGGTACAAATTACAACCAGAGGCGACCCTTCGACATGATCAGAGGTGCCCGATTGCCAGATTACTTAGTTCAACCCACATTTTTCAAAATCGCAGCTAATTTATAGCCGACACATTCGCAATGCTGATAGGATGCGTTGCGATTCGAGCAAAGCGAGAACTGTAGTAGCTCGAAACTGACTCTGCGCTTGGATCTCTTTCCTTGGGCAGTGAATGGCTGGTCGCCGCTGCAAGGAGCTCGCCTCATCCACACTAAAAGATGACTCCAGTTTGATTTCCATAAGGTTGTTTGCCTACACCAGAATATTCTAAAACGATACTAGTATGGTCAGGACATTTTTAGGGGTGTTACGGGTGCAATGAATCGAAGTAGCGAGAATTGCACTAAGGTGTCAAACGAGTACAAAGATGTGAGCGAAGGCATGAGCGAACATTTATATGCGAAGCATGCAAACGGTAACGCGGTGCGTGCGAGCTAGCCAGTGCTATGCTGGCAGCGAGGCTCGGGCTAGTCCCGAAGCGTAGGCCGACACGGCCGGGCCAGTAGTGCGAGGTTTGGTGAAACAGTGCGCGCGAAGTCGGCGAAGTTCGGTTAGCAGTAACGGGCGAACAACGGCTGTTGCTGTACGCGATGTAGTCGGGCTCCATAAGGAATGCCGAGAAAATTCCTTACACTACCCCCCCCCCCCTCAAGAAGCCCCCTCCGCTACGCGAGTGCATGTATGTCGCGGAATCCCCGGCTCCTCAGGTACACTTGCAGGGCAGGGTGGTTTTCAATGTTGGCCAGGGGCACCCAGCTATCCTCAGTTGGCGTGCGGTCCTTCCAGCGAACGAGGAATTCAATCCTCCTGATTCCCGTGGGGTGTCGAATCCGATGGCTCAGGATTTTTTCGGGCTCGATGATCGGCTCTGATGCATGGCGAGTCATGGATGGCGGGCGGTGGCGAGGCAATTGGCTTGTGGTTGGGATGTATGGGCGAAGCAAGCTGACGTGGAACGAAGGGCTGATGTACCAGTCGGTCGGTAACAGTAGGTGCGCGGTTACTGGCGTGATCATGTGGCTGATTTGGAATGGGCCACAGTAGCGCGGTCGCAGTTTTGGTACGTCGGGCAGTCGCAGGTTTTGCGTGTCGAGCAGTACGTAATCCCCTGACTGGTAGGTGACGGGTCGGCGGTGGCGGTCGGCGTTGCGCTTAGCGATGACATTTGCTTTTTTAATTGCTTCTGCAGCTCTGGTGCGGGCAGCTTGCAGAATTTCGGCGAATTGTTGTGCACGTGGTGTCGGATTGTTCGGACTCGGCGTCATGGGCACTGTAGGATTTTGCCCGTAGTTCAGGTAGAAGGGGGACTGCTGCGTCGTCGCTGACGTGGCGTTGTTGTACGCGAACTCGATCAGCGGCAGCTGCTGTTCCCAAGTCGTGGGGTCGTCGCACGTGGCACGAATCAACTGCTCCATCGTCTGATTCGTCCGCTCCGTTTGGCCGTCGGTCTCGGGGTGGTACGACGAACTGAACTGTAGCCTGGTCCCGAACTGCTCCCAGAGGTTTTTCCAGAAGTTGCTGGTAAACTTCGTGTCCCTGTCGCTGATAATCGCTGCTGGTATCCCGTGCAGGCGAACAACGGCTGCGATGAACAGACGAGCGGTCTCCTCGGCTGAGATCGACTTTTTGCACGCAGCGAAGTGTGCCATCTTCGTCAGCCTGTCAACGACGACCATCACCGCGTCGTTACCCCCAGGGTTCGAAGGTAACCCTGTGACGAAGTCCATGGTAACCTGCTGCCAGGCGCGCTCGGGCGGTGGTATCGGCTGCAATTGACCCGCCTTCCGCTTCCTCGAGCTCTTCATCACCTGACACGTGGGGCACGAGCCCACGTGCTGCTGTACGTCGGTCAACAGCTCCGGCCAGTAATAATACCGCTGCAGTTGCTGTCGCGTTTTTTCTACCCCAAAGTGTCCCGAGGTAATTCCGTCGTGTGCCTCCTGCAGTAGCAGCTCCCTCAGTAGTGAGTACGCAGGTACCCAGATGCGGTTGGTGCCTGCTTTTACGTAATAAACTCCTTTAGCTTCTGCCAGTTGCTGTGAGTTTCCAGTCGTGAAAAATGGGTCGGTGTGGTATCCGTGGGTGAATAGGCCTGTTAACAGCGGGTTGGTCTGGGCGAGTAGGATGGCGTGGAGTTGGGCGGTAGGGCGGGTGAGTGCATCGGCAATGTTGGATGCGCCTTTCTTGTACGTAACCGTGTAGTGGAAGTTGGACTCGAGGTAGTCCAGCCAGCGAATTTGTCGCGGATTGAGATTTGGTTGGGCGCGTAAGTACTGTAGTGATCGGTGGTCTGTCCGTACTGTCACGTCGGCGCCAGCCAGGTAACACCGCCAAACCTTGAACGCGTGCACGATCGCCAACATTTCGCGGTCGTGTATCGGGTAGTTGCGTTCGGGCGGGTGCAGTTTGCGGGACTCGTACGCGATTGGCTGGAGGTCGTTCCCGAAATCCTGCAACAGTACTGCTCCCACAGCGATGTCACTTGCGTCAGTGACGAGCTCGAACGGACGGTGTGGATCGGCGATGTGAAGCACGGGCGGTGAGCACAAAATGTTTTTGAGGGCCGAGAAGGCAGCTTGCTCTTTCTCCCCCCACGTGTACTCAACCCCCTTCCTCAGCAGGTCAGTCAACGGGGCAGTCAGCTTCGCCATGTCGGGGACGAACCGGCGCACGTAGTTGATGAACCCCAGAAAACTCTGCAACTCTGTCAAGTTGGTCGGCGCGTGCCACGCCTGAATCGTCGCAATTTTCTTCGCGTCTATTTCCACTCCTGCGGCTGAAATAACGTGTCCCAAAAACTCCAGACGGTCCTGTAAAAATTCACACTTAGACGCTTTTGTCAGTAGGCGGTTCTCACTCAGTATTTTAAAAACTGCTTCGATGTCCTGTAAGTGCTGTGCTCTGTCAGGGCTGTAAATCAGTATGTCGTCCAGGTATACTATGACGCACTTATCTAAGAGTGGGCGGAAAGCTTCGTTCATGGTCATTTGGAAAGTGGCGGGGGCGTTGGTCAGTCTGAAGGGCATGACGGTGTATTCGAAGGATCCGTAGCGTGTTCGGAATGCGGTTTTAGGGCAGTCGGGCGGATTGACACGAATCTGATGGTAACCCCCCCGGAGGTCGATTTTCGAGAAAACCCGGGCTGTGCGCAGTTGGTCGATCAGTTCGTCGGCTCGTGGGATGGGGTAACGGGATTTGATGGTAACCCTGTTCAGTGCTCTGTAATCGATGCACATGCGAAATCCCCCGTCTTTTTTCGGTGTAAACAGTATCGGTGCTGCGAAAGGCGACGAACTAGGGCGAATGAACTCCTTCTCGAGCAGGTAATCGAGCTGCTTCCTCAGTTCGTCCAGTTCGGGCTAGGTCAGTCGGAACTGTCGCTGTACTGCTGGCTGTGCCCCCGGTTCCAATTCTATTCTGTGATCGTGCGGTCGCTGAGGTGGCAGTCCCGTCGGTAAGTCGTCCGGGAAAATGTCGCTGTACTGCTTCAACAGTGCTGCCAGGTCACTCGGTACGTCGGTCAGCAGTTTCTGCAAATCCCCTCCCTTGTCTGCTGCCTCGGCTTCCCGAATGTCGACCGCGTACACGTCAGCTCCCGCCGCTACGGCGCGTTTCATCGTGATCGCGTTGACACGCACCGACGAAGACTCAGGCGAGCCCCAGCGAGGTAGGGCGATGTGGTTACCGTTCACTCGCACGGTGCAATCACCCGTCGTCCAGTCGATTCGCGGATTGTGTCGTCGCAACCAATCACGCCCGAGTAAAATATCGGTTCCGTCGAGGGTCGTTGCGAGCATTTCTTGGCTAAATGTGAAGTTACCCCCGCATCGAATCCGAACCCGGACTACGCGTTCCCGTATTGCCAGCGGCGTGCCGTCTACCAGTCGTGCGTCGATCTCAGGTAAACATCTGTCCAGTGGCAGTCGCAGTTTTCGTGCTGTAGCAGTGTTGATGAGGCTGTGGCTGGCTCCCCCGTCTACGAAGATTTTAACTAAGTCCGTCCCGATTTTCCCACTAAGCAGTATAGGGCTGTCTACCGTAGTACCCTCCTTATTCGGCCGGGTGTGGTCGATTGCGTGAACCGGCACAATCACTCGGTGAGGGTCGGTTGGGTCGGGCGAGCGGCGTGACCTGTCAGTAGAGGGCCCATCTGCTACTGACTCCCAGCGTTTCCCTGCTGCTTGGTCTGTTTCTGCTGCTCAGCTTCCCCCTTTCCCTTAGCGTTTTCCGGGCATTCGCTCTTGCGGTGTCCCGGCCGATTACACGCGAAGCAGCGCCCTTTGAACGGTGCGGCAGCGGCATTCGCGGCGACGGCACGTATCGTGGCGCCCTCGTTCGTCCCACGAGACCGATGTCCCCAGTTGCTGCTACTGCCGTAGGACCCCGGTCTCGGTCGGCGGAAGAAGTCGAGCTTCTCCGCCATAGCGAGAATTTCCTGAAAATCGGTGACGCCGCGAAGCTGAATTTCTTGAGCGATGTCGTGCTTCAGGCCGCCGATGTAGCGGTCGATGCGCTCGCTCTCATGCATGTAGCCCACTTGCTCGCATAGCGCCAGAAACCCGCTGGTGTAGTCCTGGACTGAACCGAGTTGGCGCCAAGTGCGGAGCTTCTGTCGCGCCGCAATCGAAGCCGCAATTGGCTCAAATCGAGCGCGCAGACCTGCGCACCACGCGTCCCACGTGCGATATTGGGGCACCTCCACGAAGTACGACGGCGCCCAGGGTCCGGTTTGTCCTTCCCGTGTCGGTAGAGTCGCGTAGTCATTCGGCTTCGTGACGATGACGCGCCACCAGTCCATGGCGGGTCCTCGCAGCAGCGACACGGTGTAGCGAATTTTCGCCGAATCCTCCGAGACGTAGTTGGCGTCGAAAAACACGTTCATCGTGAACAACCACGCCTGAACGGTAGGACCACCCCGTTGACTCGGGTCAAAGCATGGCGGACGCTGCGGCTTCAGCGGCATCGGTGACGGCAGTCCCGAATCGTGGGTCGGTGCCGAAATCGTGACGCGAGGTTGACTTGGGGCCGCATTCGTCGCTCCGGGGTGTGTCGTGCCATGGTCGTCGTCTCCGTCGGGGCGGACGACGCCATCACTGGCCGCGCTCGCGGGTTGCCCCACACTTCCGTGCTGTGATGTCTGTGGTGCGGGCTGAATCGGAGTGCCAGGTGCTTGGGATTGTGCCCTTGTGAGGTCGTTTTGCAGGGACGAGCGTTTTGCCGTCAGCGTCGCAATTTCCTCGGCGCTCTCGCGGATTTGTCGCAGCAGATCGTTCAAATGCTCCTGCGTGAGAGTCGTGACGTCGATGTGTTCGGCCATTTCGAAGGCGTGAGAGTCGTGACGTCGGCTCGTCTTAGTCTAGGCGCAGTCGTGGCTGCACGCGTTTACGAGAGAACGCGAGGACAGCGGCTCCTAGGTGCTAAGGTACGTAAGTCCCTTCGAGTGAAAAATCAAAAGTTGATTTCCTGGGGTGCGGAGATGCGCGGTCCGAAAGAAAGGGGCTCTGATACCAAGTGTTACGGGTGCAATGAATCGAAGTAGCGAGAATTGCACTAAGGTGTCAAACGAGTACAAAGATGTGAGCGAAGGCATGAGCGAACATTTATATGCGAAGCATGCAAACGGTAACGCGGTGCGTGCGAGCTAGCCAGTGCTATGCTGGCAGCGAGGCTCGGGCTAGTCCCGAAGCGTAGGCCGACACGGCCGGGCCAGCAGTGCGAGGTTTGGTGAAACAGTGCGCGCGAAGTCGGCGAAGTTCCGTTAGCAGTAACGGGCAAACAACGGCTGTTGCTGTACGCGATGTAGTCGGGCTCCGTAAGGAATGCCGAGAAAATTCCTTACAAGGGGCCATCCAAGCCAACTGGCGAACCAGCCTCGCCAATATGGAAAATTTATCTGGAGCATGTTACGAGCTTTTAAAGATACAATGGGCCACTGGCTAGTCTTCATACAACCGTATAGTGAAAAGATTAGATTAGAACGGAGATCAAAATCTGCCAAACCTGGGGAAAACTAAGGTGATAAATATCTTGCTATCTAGCGATGATCTTACAAGAGCCTTCTAATCCGTATGGAAATGTAGTTGTAGGACTTCAGCTGACATGTCGGTGGAGGGAAATATCAGTTCTTGCTTCCACGGGTGAAAAGATTTCGAGGGCCATTGCGGACGTGGACCCCAAACTCCTTAGATCTCAGGAGTCGGAGGGATGTTCCAGCTCAGGCCGCGTCCTTGCCCTTACCCAAATCCTCCTCACCTCACCCTCAGCAGAATTCACCGAATGCTCGTCTTCTTCTGCATTCCTCCCCACAACGCGCCGATGCTCATGCAAGGCAGGTGGAAAGCGAGGTCCCTTCCTCTACCATGGGCATCTTTCTTCCCCCATAGATCACGGTTCTGAAGTTTGGACACCAACTGAAGTGTGGACACTTTGGTATCAATGAACACGTCTGATTGGCTGTCATGCTCCAAGACTTCTCGCAAGTTGTGTGGTGACCAATGATTGGGTGTGTTTACACGTCACTCAGGGAAAAATTTGGTTCTGGGCGAAGCTTGGACACCAAGAACCAAATTGATAGTCAGCACAGAAAGCACATTTTCTTGGGGCAAGCGGTGCCACATTGGGGAATGTGCGGACCACGTGGCAATCTGATGCCTCCTCGAATTTGGTCCGCGCCGCTGCCCTCTGTTCGCCCAGCCAGCCAGGCAGCAGAGGTGGCGTCTGACCAAGAGGAGGCGAACTTGGAATGATGATGAGAAGCAGAAGCGCTGAGACGGCGAATGCAGCGGGTGCTCAGAAGTCAGGGAGCACAACATGCATGAATGTTTCCTGCTGTGGTCCCTGGATATAAAGTTAGCATCCATCGGAGATTTTGCAACCTTGGCCTGTTGTTGTCTTTCCTAGTCTGTTGGATCCTAATCTTGCTTCCTAGCTCTTTCACGTCTCTTGCTCTCAGTAGTCAAATTCTAGACGGTTTGAACATTTCCCGACAGCAGACCTGTGCCATGGGTTCCGAGCCAGTTGTCCGAAAGTTTGAGAAGGAATCGATGCTGGAAATCCTGCGTCATATTCCCGCTCCTGTGGTCATCATCACTGCAGCATATGGTGATGCCAACGACGACGACTTGCAAGTTAGAGGAATGACATGCAGCAGCTTCACAAGGTGCGGATTCATCATCAATTGGCTTGCTTGCCGCTCTCCGCTTCGTATCTTGCGTATCTTGATAAGGACTACATTGCAATTGTGATTTTTACCAATACCGTGACTGACTCCATCAGCGCTGTGAAGAAAGCACGGACATTATTTCACCATGATGCTTGTGATGTCTCTACGGGTTGTCGTCATACACGGTTACACTTCAGGCGGTTGCATTTCCGCACATGAGTAGATTCACGGGATTTTCGGGAGTTTTTATCCGCGTTGATTCTGCTTTGTTTTCTGTACTACTGGCTCCTTCCTCGTTCATGCCTCTTCGCCCTGTTTCACTTCCTCACTTGCCTCTTCCTTAGTCACGAAAACGAACAAATTGGTATCTGCACAGCTCGCATTCGTCCCCATTTCCTTCTTGTTCCCTGTACTTTCAGCGTATCTTTGGAGCCGCCGTTTATCTCGGTGTGCTTGCGCAAGAACTCCCTCATGATGCAGGTCTGACCCTTGAAACCTCTGGAAGAAAGCCAACAGTTCCCTTTCTGACGTTACAATTATCGTCTGGGGAACCTCGCGGCAAACCTTACATTGGACCTGCTCTGTGTGCAGGTGCTGGAGAAGTCGACTGGATTCGGCGTGCATCTGTTGAATGAAGAGAACAAGCAGAAGGCCGGTGACTTTGCTAAGCCTGTGAGCAGTGCGCTTCCTGTACACGGAAGGTTCACTTTTCTGCGTCTGGCCCCTTGTTCTAATGTTAAATCCCGGTACTTACCAAGATCGTTCTACCGTTGAGGTTTTGACCTGTCTTGAAGTCGTTGATATCACCTTTGGCTCTTCACAACGTAGCAGTTTGTGACTGTTTAGGGCCACTCACCGAAGACTCAATCCTGCCACTCTTTTCTGTCCTTGTGGATTTGGTCGGAAATGGTTTTGTTGGTATGTGAGGGTTGATCGCAGCATGACACAGGGAAAGGACCTTTCAATGAGTAAGTCCTTCCTTTCCCTCGGGCTTTAGTGCACTTGCACACGCTACTCGACCCCAATGCTCAGGAACCTTGCTCTAGCCCAGATTCCATACAAGCAATCTCTTGATTCAACTTCCAGAAAAAATATTGTATGGTTTTCCATTCCGCCCCAAGTCTCCTGTCCTCATCTCTTCCGCTTCTTGTTCAAAAGGGCTGCAGGTAAATGGGAACTGGTGTCACTCCGCGACTACATGAGTGAAGTACCTCCGAACCACCCTGAGGGGCAGCAGGATCCTGACGCGGTCAAGGGTGTGCCAGTGTTGCAAGAGAGTATGGCAGCACTTGTTTGCTACCGCAAAATGAGCTTTGATGCGGGCGACCACATCATCCTTGTTGGAGAGGTGAGCTTCTTCTGCTATTTCATATGAGTGGTTGCAGAGCATTTTACATGAGAGCATGGTCATGCCAAAAGCATACACTCTTCATCTTGCTAATTGGATCACTTGCATATTTCACTTCCCGAATCTGCAGGTGGTGGCCACTAGTGCGCATGATTTTCATCCCCTCATTTACATGAACCGTCACTACCACCAACTTGGTCATGAGGTGTAATAACGACGACTCGGTTTTACAACTAGCCTGAATGGTAATAACTTGATACGCGTCTCAGTGGATACCCATGGGCCATTTCTACAGAGCAATGTGTTTTATCTTGTGGTTTTCTAGGGGCACACACGAACCAGTTGGTGTTTGTCAAGTGATAGCACATCCTGCTTGCATAGATGGTTGAGGTAATGTAATGATGATGGAATTAGAATAGTTGTAGCATGGGCTTATGGTACTTGTGAAAACCTAAAATAATTGACAGTGTATCGGAGTCAACTTTACTGAAGACGGCGTCGCAGCGCCCACCCAGGACTACCTCCGCCAACACACACACGTCAGTTCTTCTCCCTTGCTCCCCACAAAGCATTGCCCATGCACCCATGACGCGTTGACCATTCTGGAAGTGGCCATGCATCTCTGTGCACGTGCTCATTTCGGAAGCGAAAATGGTTTTGCTCCTATTTTGAAGTGGTTTTTCATGAAATTGAAGTGGTGATTCGTGCACGTCCTATTCCGTTCTTGTACAGGCGCGTCGCTTGCGCAACTGATTCTGATGGCGGAAGCGCAGGAGCAACAACCACTAGAGATGGAGCAGCAGGAGCAACAGCGGGAGGAGGAGGAGGTGGGGAAGGAGCGGGAGGTGGGCGTGGAAGTCGACATGACGGCGCCCGTGACGGCGTGGGACATCGAGCGCGCAGGAGGGCTAGGGGCGCGGGATGACATCGCGTCTCCGCTGCCCGTGGCCATGGACGCTACGGACCTCGAGGAATCTATCAACGCCGAGCTTTATCCGGAACTCGCAGGTGCTGACGTGGCGCGTGGTGGGATAGTTCTTGTAAATCCAAGCGGACACACAAATCGTGTTATTGATGCTTCCCGTTTTCCAGACTCAGTTTTTGCCCAGAGGCAAGCCTGGTAGGGTGTTTGCCACCATGGTTCGCTGACAACTTATTTGCTGTCCCCTAACATACCTAAGTCCCACCTCTTCACGCAGACCCTCAGATGGCTCGTCACATCCGGTCGATCTGGGCCAAAAATATCTCCTTTGACTGTAATCCTTCATGCGTTGCCACACGTGGCGCATGGCAGAGAGCGAGGAGGAGGCACGCATGGGCAGCACAGATCCCTCAGCCCCAGCAATCCATGTGGGTGGCTCGTTCGATGCTGCTGCCGCTGCTGACCCGGAGGAGGCAAGGCGACAGCTGGAGAGCAGATTTGTACACGGGGGGCAGGGTGGAGTGTAGGGAGGGGAGGGAGGAGGGGGAACAGCGTGATTGGAGGGGAGGGAGGAGGGGGGACAGAGTGAGTGGAGGGGAGGGGACAGAGTGAGTGGAGGAGAGGGAGGAGGGGGGACTGAGTGAGTGGAGGAGAGGGCCGGGTGCGGTCAGGGTGAACTGGTTGACATTATACATCATTCAGGAGCAACAATTGCTGAGGGCGTGGGCAGGGTTCATGCATACGTCTAGGTTCAGCTGTGGCATTAGTTTTGTAGTTGTGCAGCTGGTTTGCATGTAGCCTGCTGACTAGGTTCCGGATTACGCCATGTGTTCTGTGGATGTCAAGCTGATACTAGTTGGCACTTGCACTAGCTCTTGCTTGATACCTGCACTTGGTATATTTTCTCATTGGCCCAAGCTTGTGCAATGCTACATCTGACGAAGCGTTTTGACTAGCCCTACATGCATACCAGCTGCATCTACCATGCGTGCAGACAGTGATAGCGCATGGCACGGTATGGACAAAAATGAAATTCAAGACGCGTGTCCATCACACGTGTGGCGAACATGCTAGTGGGTGAGTCGCAGCTGGCACTGCTGCACCACAGCCGAGAACTGCTGTAGGTCACCTGCATCCCATGCCACCATGCCATGCCACCATACCATGCCATGCCATGCCAGAGGGGAACCACCAGAACTGTTAGAAGGCAAAGAATGTTCACAATCATGAGTCAAGCACCCAATTCCCTCATCTTGTGTCGCCAATCCCCATCTTCCACCTTTCCTTAGCAAAGAAGCAAGCAACCAAATCAAACCCCCTTAAAAACAAGCAACCACCCAGAAAAGGGCAACCAACAGCCCATAGATACCAACAATCCCCCAACCCCTTCGTCCCACGCCCACCACCTGCGCGAGAGGGGTATGGCAAGCAGTATGGCTGTCACGGCATGGCAGGCAGTGCAGGTTACCTGGTGTCAATTGCTTTGAGCTGCCGCTTGCTGCTCTGCCCGCTGCTGCACTTGCTGTGGCAGTGACGGTGACAGCACCAGGTGCGTGCTGTAAGAGCTGGTGCAGCAGCAGAGTTGGGCGGGGATGGGATGAGATGGGATGCGATGAGATGGTTGGGACAGGATGGAATGAGGTGTGATAAGGTGTGATGGACGAGGGTAAAGTACGATGGGAGTAACGAAAGTTTCGCGGCTCAATGTCACACAAAGCTGGGAGCAGGGAGCCCAGGAGAGAGAGACAGAAAGAGGTTGCAAAAAGAGGAAAAGAAGAGGCAGACGATTTAGAACGTAGAAGGCAACCTGGAAGGTGACGTGCACTGCTTGTGCTGCTGGTTCTGCTGCTGCACTCTGTGCTTGCTCCGCCGCTGCTGCACGTCCCACTCCTGGCCCGCCCCCATCTCCATCTCCTGCTCCCTGTGCTGCCAGCGTACCCTGTATGCCAGGGCAGGGGGTGTATCAAACAATGCAGTGGGAAGGGTTGAGGAGGTGGTATGAGACTCGCACTTGTTTCAGGGAAACAAAAATCTAAGAGCACAACGTACTGAAGAGCAGCATTAACATCTGCACACTGCATGAGCCACCGCTGCTATGCTGCAGGAAAAGGGACGGGGAAATTGCAGGGCAAATTAGAACTGGATCTCGCATGGCACAGTGGCATCCATACGGATTTCATGACAGTACGTACGTAGCATGGCAGAGGCAAGCTTAAACTGTCACCTGGAGGCACAGCGTGTGGTGGTTGGGCTTAATGGCTGTCACCCCACTCTCCCCCGCCACACGCACCAGATCCTGCCACACTACCCCCACCGCCCCTGCTCCCTTCAGCCCCTGGTGAGGCGGCATGATAGGGGGGTGGGGGGGAGTTGAAGTAAAAATAAGGGCATGGCTGGTAGAGGAGCGACACACAGGGCACATGCAACATGGAATGGAAGACATCTGCGCTATAACACTTGGATTGAGCTCCTGATGTTACAGGAGGAACATTTATGCACAATCCCTGACGCCCCCCACCTTTTTCCCCATCTATCCTCCTTCTCTTCCTCCCCACCACCCTGCATGCCACCGCCCCTCCCGCCCTCTCCCCCACTCCTTCCCCATTACCCCGCAGCCAGCCCTCTTCCCCTCACCACTCGCCCTTGAGCGCACCTGGAGAGTGAAGGACGTCTTTGGGCGCAGCAGGGGTGTGGGAAGGGCACACGGGAGAGAGGGCCAGGAGGGGTGTGTGGAGGATAGGGGACCGATGGGGGGAAGGGAACGGCCAATGGGGGGAGGAGAGGGGCCGATCGGCGGAGGGGAGGGGCCAATTGTGGGGGGAGAGGGACCGGTGTGTGGGGGAAGGGAGGGGCCAATTGATGGGAGAGAGGGGCCGATGGGGGGTGGGGAGGGGCCAATGGGGGGAAGAGAAGGGCCAATGGTGGGGGAAGTACTGGGAGTGCAGGAGTGGGGGAGGGCCAAGGTGGAGGAGGGGCGGTGGAGGGGGATGAAGGACCATGCAATGCCCCAGCGGGATGTGCGCCCCTGCACAAACTCCGTTGTGGCTATGCGCGGCACCTGGCATGGGCAGGGCACGGTGGGGGAATGAGGGGGAAGGGAAACGGTGGGCATGGGGCAGAGTTCTTCAATCACCTCAGGAATTTGTTTATATGCCCATTCAGATGTGCCGACATGGGTGGAAACTAAACAGGGGGCGAGCATGAGGGCTTAGAACATGCGTTGGTGGAGTGATGGTAGCACTGACATGCAGGGAGCGCAGGTGAGCGAGGAGATGCTTCAGGTTGACCTTCCTCCCCACCATGGACGTATACCATCTGTGCCATGCACCCATGCACCCATGCACCCATGCACCCATGCACCCATGCAACCATGCACCCATGCACCCATGCACCCATGCACCCATGCACCCATGCACCCGTGCACCCATGCACCCATGCACCCGTGCACCCATGCACCCGTGCACCCATGCACCCATGCACCCATGCACCCATGCACCCATGCACCCATGCACCCGTGCACCCATGCACCCGTGCACCCATGCATCCATGCACCCATGCACCCATGCACCCATGCAGACACGTCAACCGCGCATACCATGCAGATGCATCATGCCCCTCAGGCAGCAGACACATACAGTACAGCAAGCAAGTGAAAACAAGCAGAGGGGGTAGAGACAAAGAGAAAGAGTTGGCCGTGTTGGTACAGTCTTCCCACCAATCACACCATCCCCATGTCATGCCCATTTGCCCCACGCACCTGCCCTGCCCCGTACTCCATTCCCCAATGCCCCACCATGCACCTGAGACATCTGCAGCATTGCAACGAGCAGACATCATCATCATTCCAAACAGCAGCACAACCTGGCTTTCCCTAAACAAACCAGCCTCTCCTCCTCTTTCCACCCCAACCTTACAAGCTGAACAATCTCCTCCATGCTCCAAGTTCTGAACCACAAACACAACCCAGCGCAAGCACTATCAATGACCGCACAAACACACTAGTGCGTCAAACGCCCCCCTGGCAGCCCACCTGATGCGAGTGCGCAGGGCACAGCTGTCGTGCACGATGCGGCGAATGAACGCCAGCTCGCCACCCGCACACACCATCTCCGCCGCCGTGCCGCCACACGCCGTGCGCGGGTTGGCACCGGCCTGCTGCAGCGACTCGAAGAAGGGCGGGTTGCACATGCACGCGTCAAATGCCTCGCCCTCCTCAACCACTCCCACCAGTATTGCTGCTTCTCTACCTGCCGCCTCCTCCCCTCCCCCACCACCTTCTCCGCCCTCTTGTTCCTCCCCCTCCCCCTCCCCCTCCCCTTCCCCATCTTCACCCCCTTCCCCTTTCCCTTCCCCTTCCCCTTCCCCTTCCCCTTCCCCTTCCCCTTCCCCGTCAACCTCTCTGCTCTCGTGCCCTGCTCCTGCCTCCTCTGCTGTGCCCCGCTCTCCTGCACTCATCCCTTGCTCCTCCTTCTCATCCCCTCTCTGCTGTTGGCATCGCTCTTCTCTTGCTGCCACCACATCACCCACCACTTCCCCACTCCCCTGCTCATCATTCCTTTCTGTTGTGCTAAGTTCCCTTGCTTCACTCCTCTCCTCGCCCCCACACCCTTCATTCCCCTCTCCCTCACCAGCTATCCTTGCCTCCCTTTGCACCAAACTCTCACTCGCTCCATTTTCCTCCGCCCTCCCCTCTCCCTCTCGCACACTTCCCCCCTCAGCGCCTCTTCTCAATCCCGCTCCTCCCTTCTCTTCCCCACTCCCTTCCCCATGGCTCATCACCACCCCATTCCCCTGCTTCTCCAGCCCGCTTTCCTCACTTGGATCTTCCCCATGCGCCCCATGCGCCCCATGCGCCCCATGCGCCCCGTTCACCCCTTTTTCACCCCCATCCGCATGCGCCCCATCACCTGTCACCAACCCATCCGCCTCTGTCTCCCCTCCCTCTCGCGCGTCTCCCCCACCTCCCTCCCCTCCGCGCCCACCGCTGGCGCCGTGGCTCTGCAGGGGTTCCCCATCACCCATGGGCGTGCTGTCCCCACCCCCCGCACGCCGTATGTCAATGAGCGGCGCCAGGTAGGGGTTGCGCGCGCGGTTGGCCCTTGCCCCCTGCAGGGCACTCTCTGTCACGTCTGGCGCAGGGGGGGGATGACAGCGGGAGGGCAGGGGGCAACGATAGTTGGGAATGGCAGAGGAAAGGGCGGAGGGGGAGGGTAGGTGAGCAGGAGTGGATGAGAGGGGAGAGGGAAAGAATAGAAGGTAAAGGTGTGGTGATGCATGAGAGTGAGAATGGAGCAGTGGAAGCATCAACGCATGCACACGTGTGTGGAGGCCGGTGTGGCAGTCACACGCAATGAAGAGACGCCAGGCAGCATGTGCAGTGCGTGCAGCACACGGGGGGCATCGTACCAGTGGCGAGGAACGACCAGCCAAACATGGCGGCACCCAGCAGCGGGTAGATGAGGTTCGCCCCCGTGCCTATGTCCACCACCCGCACTGCTCCCCGCCCCCCCTCCGCTCCTCCTTCTCCCCCTCCCTTTCCGTCTCCTCCCGCCCCTCCCTCTCTTCCTCCTTCCCGCCCTCCTTCCCCCTGTCCCCATTGCGTTCTTTCCCCCCCTCCATCCTCCCCTCCGTCCGCCTTGCCTGCCCCTGGCGGCCCTGCACCTGCCCCAGTGCGCCTGTGCGCGCCACAGGCGGGGGGAGGGCCATGAGGGGAAGGCGGGAGCGAGGCGATGAGGTCGTGCAGCCAGAGCAGGTAGTTAGTGCGGTTGGGCACGGTGGGGCACAGATGCCCGTGCTCTATCCACCTGCATGTCATGGCGTGGCGTGGTGGGGTGGGGTGCAGAGCGGTCTTCACGGTTAATTCAGTTGAGGGGTTTTGACGCAGCAGGCACGGAGCGAATGAGCTGCATGCATCATGCATTTCGATCAGGGATGAAATCAGATTGGAATCTCCTACGGCACCCACACGCGCACACAGACGCACAGGCAATGAGTACGCTGCACTTCCCCTTTCCCTGCGTGCATGAGCACAGCCTCACACACCCAAGCTAGCCCCTCCCCTCTTCTTCCTCCCCTGCCATCCGCCACCCTCCCACCCTCTTCTGAAACGGTCTCCCTCCCCTCCCAGCTCGTCTCGCCCCCGTCCCTCCCCCGTCGCCCTTCCCATCGCCCCTTCCCTTCTGTCCCCCCCCACCGCACCAGTCAACGCCGAAGTCCGTGTGAAGCAGGGCGCGCGTCAGCTCGCGCGTCGCGTTGTAGTTGCTCCACATGAACCCCACCGGCCCGCCCGCCCGCCGCGCCGGCAGCACAAACGGCGCCAGCGCGGGGTGCTGCTCCGCCAGCGCGCGGAAGTCAGGCGGATTCTCCGCGTAACGGTTCCGCGGGTGCATGGCGCGCGCCTTCTTTGCGCCAGCCTTGCCCTTCCCCGCTCTCCCTTCCCCTTCCCGCGCCCGTTTGCCTCGCTCCTGTGCGGGCTCCGCTCCCCATTCCGGCGCTCCGTCTTCGCCTTCCCCACTTTCTTCCCCCTCCCGGGTATCATCCATTTCTCCGCCTTGGGTGTCCATCGCCGTCGCAAGGATTCGCCTCTACAACGACCGGTGCCACAGGCGACGAGACGCGGTACGACGGACCGTGCGACAGGCGACCAAGTACGAACAGATCGCTCACGAAACGCGAACCTACCAGAATCGCTCGCGTGCGGGCGCCGCGACGGGAGAGGCAGTACGAGAGTGGGCGGAGAAGAGACGGAGTCGGAGGACGACGATGGACGCGAAGCAGTTGCTAGTGCGAAAGCCTTACCGTTTCTAGCTGGTGAAAGGAACTCGATACGGTATGCTGCAGGGGGAGGCCGACGTGGTGACAGACAGGTGGCCCCCAAAAAAGCCAAAGCTCCACCTCACACCCTCGCAATAAAACAAGTTTCCATTTTCATTTCACTTTCTCCTTCCCAGCCCAAATCCACAGACCAGCAGAACACACACTGGCCAGGTTGCATGCATCTCCTTCAACATCTCATCTCTTCCATTGCTCATTATGACTCGTCTGCCCTGTCAGTCCTTCATAATCGCCTCTGCGCTCCGCGCTCCGCGCTCCCCGTTCCCATCCCCCTCGCCGATGCGTGATTGAGTTTCTGCGTGCACCGCTTCCAATTCCTCCGACCAGACAGCCACCGGCCAGACCAATATACCTCGCTATTTCTGCTGCGCCGATCTGTAGATTCTTTCTGCGATCCCCCTTTCCGCCATGCGCGCGAGTAAGCGCGCGCGCACGGCGCCTTTCCCCCAGCGCCCGCGGAGCACGAGGCGTGCGGCTGCGGGGCGGGCAGGAAGCGAGCCGATCCCTCCGCACGCCGCAACCAGAGGTAGAAGCGCGCCCGTGCCCGAAACGGCACTGCCGCTTCCGCCATCGGCGCCCCCCGCCCTGGCGGAAGCGACTGACGCTGCGCGAGAAGCTCGCGACGCGGATTTATCCCCGGGTCACGGCAGGAATTCAGACACGGAACGCGACGGCGGCGAGGAGCATGGCGAGGCCGACTCGCCCATGGCTCTCCTATCCGACGATGCGCTTTCGCTTGCGCTCTCCCGCCTGCCCACGCGCTTCGCGCTTTCTTCGCTCGCCTTCGTGTGCCGCCGCTGGCGCAGGCTGGCGCTCCGCCACTGCGTGCGCGAGCTCCGCCCATCCCCGTTCACTCTCCGCGCCACTGGCTGCTTCGCTTCCGCCGACGCCCTAGAGGATCTCGTCCGCCGATTCTCCTCGTCTTTGCGCGCAATTGAGCTCCGCCCGCCTGAAACTTCCGCCAGAGGGTCCAGGCGAGGCGGAGGAGGGCGGGGGAAGGGGAAATGCGCGGCGGAGGCGGATGGCGCGCAGCAGTGTTCCGTCGGGGACATACTGCGAAGCGCGCCGATGCTGGAAGAGGTGACTATAACGAGCTGTTTCGCTGGGTCGGAGGAAGACGGCGCAGCGGCCGCTATCACGGACGACTCGGCCTTGTCAGTGATCATCAGCAGCGCTGGCAGCACCAACACCACGGCCTCGGGCCCAGCAGTTGCTGCAGGGAGAGGCCATGGCACACGCAGCAACGCTGGCGGCAACGGCGGCAGCAACGACGGCAGCAGCAGCGGGGGTAGCGCACGAAACAGCGGTGGCGGCATGGGCGGCGGTTTCGGGTTTAAGCGCGAGGCGTGGGCGCGGGCGGTGGGCGTGCCGATGCGGCCGTTGGAGTTTGTGCAAGGCGTGCTGCCGCGCCTGCCGCGCTCGCTACGGCGCCTCGACCTCCACGCGAACCACTTCCTTTCCGCGAGCACGTGCCTGGGGGGGAACGAGCCCGAGGTGGTGGGAGGCTGGGGGGGGGAGGCTTTGGGGGGAGGTCATGCGGAAGCAGCGGCGCAGAGAGGGGAAGGGACGGCGGAAGGAGACGACGAGGAGCAGGCGGGAGGCGGCGCAGGTGATAGTGCGTGTGAGCGCGCGCTGCCGTTACCCCAGCACGCCACTCCCCACGACTCCTTCCTCTACGCCGTCGCCTCCTCGCTCCCCGCACTCCGCGCTCTCGACCTCGACACACCCTCGCGCCTCTCCCACAACGCCGTGCTTCACCTGCCGCTCGCCCTACCGCGCCTCACGAGCCTGTCTCTCTGTTCCAACGCCATCACATGGCCCACTGTCTTCTCCCTGCTCGCCCTCGCACCCTCGCTCCGCTGCCTCTCCCTCGTCTCCTCCGCGCTCACCTCCTCCCCCTCTCGCCCCCGCAGACCCCCCGTTCCCCCCTCCGCCCCTCCGGGTTCTTCCGCCCTTGAATCCTTCCCCTTCCCACGGCCCACCCTTGCTGTGGGTGCTGCCGCTGCCGCCGCCGCAATGGATCCACTGAGCACAAGCGGAGGTAATCCGTCTGCGCTGCTGTCCACCCTGCCATGCACCCTCCCGCCGCTCTCCTCCCTGCGTCTCTACACGTCGCCGCATCGCTCCGTGCAGTGGGACATGAGCCCTGCACACTCCCTCCTGCGCGCCCTCCTCGCCCTCCCCTCTCCGGCTGCCTCGCGTGGCACCATTCCCACCCCCCTTGCTTCCACCTCTCCTCCTGGCGCAGCCACCGCAGGAGCAGTTTGTGCACCAGAAAGTGGCTTCACTGCTGCCGCTTTCTGTGCGCCTATGGCTAGCAGCACCGCTCTCGCAACACAGCTGCCCGTGCTTGAAGCGACCGGCGCAAGGCGCACAGCAGCAGCATGTGGGAGCACGGGGGGGTCGGGGCTCATGGCACGCCTAGCATCCAGAGCGGGCGCTGCTGGTGCGGTTGCAGCTGCCCCAGGCGGGCCCCGGAGTGTCGGGATAGGGTCAGTGGGTGCATGCTCCCTGCGCTCGCTGCATGCGCAGCACACCTTCAGTGCATCCTGGCAGAGCATAGGCGTGTGCTGCCATGGCCTCACAGAGCTCGACCTCTCCTTCCCCCCTCGGCCCCACTCCCCTTCCACATGGGGCGGAGCAGCAGCACAGGGGGGGCTTACAGGCATAGAGGAGATCGTGCTGTGTGGGACTCTCTCCATGCTGCCGCACCTGCAGCGCCTCGCTCTGCCCAGCGCCAACGACCAGGTGCTCACTCACGTAGCGCGTTGCTGCCCCCACCTCTCCTCCCTCCTCGCCCAGCCACACATCCTCGCCACCTCCCCCGATGCAAGCCTCCCCCGCTGCCCGCCGCAGCCGCATGTGACAGACGATGGTGTCCGGGCGCTGGCACATGGCTGCACGCGATTGGTCCATCTGAGCTTGGCAGGGTGTGTGCGCGTGGGGTCGGCAGTGCGGCAGCTGGCGTTTCACTGCCAGCAGCTGCGAGTGATGAGGCTGGAAGGCAGCGCTGTGGACGATAAGGCTGTGCTGGGAGCACTCTTTGGTGGAGCCTGGAAGTGGCATGCTCTTCATCCCTCTTCTTCTTCTGCTCGTGCTGGTGCTGCTGCTAAAGGGGCTGGTGGTGGTGCAAGTGATGCTGCGGGTGTCTCTGGCGGGCGTGGTACCGGTGGCGTGGTGCAGCTGCTGCTTCCTAGGCTTGTGCTCCTGGACCTGTGGGGTTGTGCTTCTGTCACCTCTGAGTTGCTACTCGCCATTCTGCAGGCAGCAAGAGAACTGGCAGCAGCAGCAGCAGAAGCAAGGAGTGGAAAGAAAGCAGGAGAGAAAGAAGTCGTGATTCCTGAAGGGGCACTAAATATCAAGGATCATGAGAGGCCTCCAGGAGGAAACAAGCACACAAAACGTGGAGGGGAAGAGGTGGTGAAACGCAGATCCAATGCTGGTCAGCTGCAGCTTCAGCTGCGGCGCCTAATGGTGTCTCCAAGTGTCCTCAAGGGATCCAAAGGGAATGGCAAGGGGGGGTTAAAGAATAAGGCTGATGTGAGTGTTGAAGGGGTAGATATTACACTGGTCTTGCAAGGCTTGAAGGACGAGTTGCCTTCACTGATGGTAACTTGTGGAAGAACAGCAAAGGACTTGCTGCCATGGGATGGTTTCTTTCATTGGAAGCAACCTTGGGATGAAGCAGTGAAGCAGTGAGCAAGTTGCTGGTGGTGGAAGTGGAGTGGGTGCGGGGTAAAGCCGGTGTACAGCATTGGTTTTTTGTACCTGATTTTGGTTAAAATTTCTAACACTTACCGTATACGGATAGATGCTTATGGCTTTCAAGTAAAGTAATACAGACGCTTTCAGCTTTCAATGCAAGTATGGATCAAAGTAAACATTCAAGTCTTCAGTATACACAGTACAATATCTTACGGAACATTAGCATGTCCTAGAGCATGTTGCTGCTACTCAGTAGGATAGATGCCACTAAGGTTGCGCTGCGGCAAATAATCAAAGCATAAGGTACCTGCAGAGCACAAAAAAAAAGTGTTAGCAATCAGGCAGAAGATGAAAGCAGTAACACTAGAGCAACCAGAGCGACTCACATGGATACAAGACTGTCTTGGCCTGAAAAAAATGGCTGCTGAAGGCATGGCGATGGGCTGGTGGAGGCATGGTGACTGGCTGCTGAGGTATGGCCATCCTCCCCCACCTCAGGGAGGACTGGCCAACCCTCAGAGTCGTTAAACCCAAGGCATGCGGGAGCCCATTTTAGACTGAATCTGCCGATACAGAGCTGCTGCAGTCAGCTCTCTATTGACAGACTCAGTCTGTATGGCCCGGATCCGAGTCTTTAGACAACCCCAAGGGTCCCTCAACACCATGCCTTCTCATGCCTTCATGCCACTTGCCATGCCTCCAGGTTACCTGCAGGAGGACAAAAAAATATTCAGTCCTCAGCCAGAGTGTGCAGAAATGCAGTAAGCATTGAACTGAACTGCTAAAAGGTAAAAAAAATACCTTGATTGCTGAGCTGAGCATCTTCAGTGATGGCTGCCATTGAAGATCT